TAAATGACGACATTATTCAAGCCAAACGGTTTTTTCCACTCTCCGTCTAAGCTTCCGGTGAGAGACAAATCTCCACTTGTGGTAATGCCAATTCGTCCTAAGGAAAAAAATCGGCCAACAATTAAATGGTGCATTTCATATCTTCATTATTTGCAAGGTTTTTTATAAATTTCTTAAAAGCTTCAAATAATTGTATTTTTAAAATAATTACTTTAAATATTTTAAATAAAATAAATGATTGGGGATATGTATCTTGATGATATAATGATGGGGACGATGCAATATTGTTGCAAGAAAAAATCAAAACATTCAAAAATATTTCAACTTGGGATTTACTTTTTGTATAATCGAATCCGACATTGGGGAAATTGACAAATTTTATAACCCATGGGAGCATTATTAAGCAAAAAGTTTAAATATTTCCATTTCCCTTGGGGCCAAAACCTATACAAACGTAAGTTTTACCAACCTATCATATCAAAACTACTCTTCTTGTTCTCAAAGCGCAGTTTGACACCGAAATACAAGCTGCCTTTAACTCCATCCATATCAATGAGCAATTGATACTCAGACAGAGTCACACTTTCGCTTAGTTTTTCTTCTAGTTCGAGTTTTGCTGCAACTGAAAAGGAGTTTGTGTCTCGTATTACTCCTTCTAACGTAACTATAATCTCATCCTTTGAACCACTTCGCTTTGATTTTCTCTTCTCTAATATCCTTTTAGCTTCCAAGCACAGTTTATTTCCTGCACAGTCTTTTGGAAATTGAATTTTCAATCTGAAGTAGAATCCTAAAAAAACAAATGTTTTGATAAAAGTCGTTTAGTGCTAAATTTAACTGTTTACTGTTACTGTTAACTGTTAAATTTAACAAAATTACTTGTTTTTTACAACGTCTACTAAAAATTTAAAAATGGCTTTGAAAAAGACAAAAAGTATGAAATATACTGAAGCTATACAACTAGATATGAGACTCTTTTTTAATCCCCAAAAAAATTAGGCTATCGATAGCAATCACAATTTTGTTGTTAAAGGTAAACAGAAAACCAATACATATTATCTTAATATATAATGATCCATCTATCCTTTTAAACTTGATTCTAATATGATTTCATTCCGAAAATATTTAGATTAATCATATGAATGCTTAATCTCGCTATATTCCATATGTTTTCCTGTCTAACTCAAGCTCAAACCAAATTAAACCCCTAATTCAAGCTCAAACCAATTTGTAAGAACCGCTTACATGTACTCAATTCGATCTGTTCTGAAATTGGCAATTAAAAACGGCTACACTCTATATTTTAGGAAAATTCTATAAGAACACGAGCTCAAAGGTGGTCAAAAGTTAGGAACAAATTAAGAACAGCTGAGGCTGAGCTACTGTAACATGCAATTTTGAACAACGTTTTATCTCAAAAACGTAAGGTTTTGGCCATGTGTGGATGCCTTTTCGATGAATATTCAAACTTGTCGGCAAATGAAAGTTGTCTTGCTCACTTTGTTAGCAAATGAGGCCTGAACACCTCTCTAGAGCGGAAAAGCTAGCACTCGCTTTGCTTACACCCTGTTCATTCAAGAAAAAATTAAGTACAACCCAGCCTCAGATTTTTGAAGAAATTAAGAACAGTCAGCCGGAACTTAAAGTTACTGGTTCTTATAAAAAAAAAGCGTAGGCACAGAGCAATCTGAAACTAACCTTTACTTTGCTTTGGTATGCCCTTTAATGGCTGCAAATCAAATTGCACGTCAGTTTTGATTCCATCCATTGCGATAGCTAGAAACAAAGTAGAAATTTATTATCTCGCAGCTTACAGGATTTTTGTTTTTTGAGTACCAAAACAAACTTAAGATAAGGGTTAATCTGATATATGCAGGGTAATAGCTACTATTAGTTTTGGACCCCGTATCCCCTCTCAAAAATTATAAAAATACTTTGTTTCAAATGAACAATTCCTTTTGTTCCGGTTGTTCTCAAACAATGGTGCTTTTCCTTTCCTTTCCTTTCCTTTCCTTTCCTTTCCTTTCCTTTCCTTTCCTTTCCTTTCCTTTCCTTTCCTTTCCTTTCCTTTCCTTTCCATTCTTAACCATTTACACCACTCCGTTTCCATTTATTGCTATCTGGACAGCATCCAAATTTTAGGCCAGATCTTAATTTATCCACCTTACCTTCGGTACCAAAGTAAAGTACCCTTGGCCACAACTGCTTTTTTAATTGCCATATTAAAGGACTTTGGCTTATCACGATTTCCTGTTTATATATGGCCTATCATATATCACAACCTATATCGTTAAAATAAGCTATTTTGCAAATATGACATTCAGAAAATCGTATCATACAATATCCTGATTCACTAAGCCCGCCAAATAACCTACCATAGTCGACGTCTTTTAGCCAACAAGCATTCTCTAGGTCCTTTCCAAAAAATTTCTTCATCATGTCACACAACTCCACCTTTGGAACAGAGAAACCCATTTTCCATTCAGGTACATTGTTTTCCACAACAGCTATCAGTTGAAATTGAACTCCAGTAAAATCTGTCATGTCAACATCGGCAGATAACCTGGGTGATGATAATGAATTTATGCTTAGAATTAAGCAAACATAACATAACATAACATAACATAACATAACATAACATAACATAACATAACATAACATAACATAACATAACATAACATAACATAACATAACATAACATAACATAACATAACATAACATACATAACATAACATAACATAACATAACATAACATAACATAACATAACATACATAACATAACATAACATAACATAACATAACATAACATAACATAACATAACATAACATAACATAACATAACATAACATAACATAACATAACATAACATAACATAACATAACATAACATAACATAACATAACATAACATAACATAACATAACATAACATAACATAACATAACATAACATAACATAACATAACATAACATAACATAACATAACATAACATGTTAAATCAGGAGAGGTTCCTGCTTATCCTCTGGGAAAGAGAAACTTCGCTGGAATGACGTTTTTAACAAAATAAATCTTGTCTGAGCAGTGGAATATGAAGAGTAGTTTTCTTTTTTGGTAGAAATACGTTTAAAGTAGTAAAAGGAGCTTTAATTTGTCACGTGACGTCTATTACCCCCATCTCCTTATATGGATATCTTACTAAAAATGAGTAAAGCCAAATTATCCTTTGATATCGGAAATTCATTTTAGCATGCAATTTTAGCATGCATTTTAGCATGTTGTGGTACTCAAACTATAAAAGGGGTCTTTTTTTGTTTTTGTCAACCTACATTGATAGTATTAATTGGTCTTAAAGAGTATTACTATGCTAGCACAAATAAGATAAACGTGGAATCTTAATGAGGAAATTTACGCTGTATGCAACAACCACTCTAACCACTGACAGAAGGCTCTCTATTCACTTTACAAGGAATTTTCACAAAAATTGTTGCATACTTTTAGGTTATCCTTGAAGTAAATTAACCTATAAGTCTCAGAAACCTTTTCACGTGATTCTAATTCTTCAAAGGGGCGCACGATTTCCAAAAAGGGACACCAGAATTTCTTCAACTATGTGTGGGAGGGGCAACTGCCCCTAGTTGCCCCCTTGAATCCGCCACTAAGTGCCCTCGTAAACCACTCTGGTTGGGTGCCGTCAGCTCTATGTTAGCTTCATCAATATGAAGTATGTGTGATCTATTTGAAGGTAATTTCATTAAACCTATGACACACCTTTCATATCAGTGGCTTAAGAACACTGACTTTTTAATGATTAAACAACTGTCCTTTTGATTATTTGTTTGCTTTTTGTAAAAAAATATGAGGATTAAAGACGGTATGTCCCTCAAAGTTCTCAGAATCTCTTTCCTTGGCCATGATATTCATGCATCGTTGGTTGAATGTACAAATAACCAATCAGAATGAAGAACCACTACAACATACTCTCCTTTAGCAAAGTGCTGTGAATTTTGTTTTGGCTCCAAATGTCTAGTCAATTGTGATGATATAAAGAATAGGCATTTTTGTCGTGTTTTCCTTCACAATAACTAATTTCGGATAATGAAGAGCAGAGGCAGACCCTCTTTTATAGCAAGGCTTCCAAGTCAGAATTAGTCAATCATGGAGAGGACAGACTGCCTTTAGGAAATTTTTCAAATCAGTCACAGAGCCACTTATTTGTCACTTGCTTTAAGAAATTGCCGTGTAGTTAGATGCAACGGATGCAACGGATGCAAAAAACTGAAGATTGCAAACAGAGCGAGAGAGCAACGAAAGATTTTGTCATTTGACTAACAACAGAACAGTGTTTTCACGAAAGTACAGTCAATTGACGGATGAAATATCACGAGTAATTGATCTCGCCCCCTTCTTTCTCATGTCAGACATAGAAAATATTACGTGAAGCATCCTGGTAGACAAATGGGGGGTGCAACTACCCAAATGAGCGATACTCATCAATAACTTTCCCACGTGAATGAGATTGAGCACTAAGGGGTATTAATTGAAGAATTAGCAAAGAAATACCATCATATCTTATACCATTGTATGCAGCAGGGGTGCCTAATCGAATTGAGCTTCTTTTACAACCACCTTGACGAAATGACTTATTTAAAACTAGAATTCTTTACCTCTGCATTTTACTCATGTTTAAATGCAAGATCTTCGAAACCATCAAAGGGAAGTTGTTATCTTATTGTCAAAAAGATTTTAATTACAGACAATCTTGCCTATTTGCTGATAAATGATCCTGTAAAGATCGCGGTTGGTTTCTAATAACATCAATTTGGATTTCATTCTCTCGTTTTGAAAGAAATACAGTAAACAGGATTTCTATACTTTGAACGATGTTAAATATTTTCTATTCCAACATATTAGATGCAGAGATGTATTTAACTTAAACCTGCCGATTTTTAATTTTATTGGACAAAACAATTTATGAGTAATTCTCAAAAAGAAGATTTTTATAGCTTTATGTAAACATTATCTAAAATTATCTAAAACATCTGTTTCAAATGTAATCAGTTTTGTTTTAGGGTTTGTTAAATCTTTTGGAATCTTGTCAGTGTGATTATCAGAGAACCGCAAATGGGAAAGAGAATAACAGGTATTACTGTTTAGGCTGTTTGCTTGCCAGATATTGCTTTAAATGGAAGATAATACAGTCAATCTAATAATTTTCCTGATTTTGGATGGCATAGTGACAATTCTGACACTAGTTGGCAATGGGATTTTTATTTTCACATTGGCAAAGAAGAAGTCACTGCAAACACCCTCTAACATTCTGTTAGGTGCATTGTCGATAAGCGATTTCTTGGTTGCACTTATTCCGCAGCCATTGGCGATATCCACATGCATTCTTCGTCTCTTCGATGCCAACTACATCACAGTCCAATACATCAAATTGATTGGCAGCTACTTTTGTATCACTCTATCTTTGCTCTACCTGGTATCTGTGAGCGTCGATAGATATGTTGCAATATGTCACCCATACTTGTATATGAGGCATGCAACATGTAAACGATACATATGGGGAAGCATCTTCTTGTTCATCTTTGGCATTGTTTTTCAGTGCATAAAGCTCATAGTGATAAGACATTTTGCTATAGACGGTTTGCCCATTTTAATTATCACTGCAACAGTCATCGCTTTTTGCAATGTAAGAATAGCGTTCGTGATAAGAAAACATAGTAGACAAATCTTTCAAACAGACACAAGATTTGAAGGGGATGAGCGACAACAAAGTCGAACAGCAAATTTGGACAGGAATAAGGCATACGTAACTGCAATGCTGGTTATATGTTTTATTCTATGCTATTTGCCTATCTATGTTTATAAATTACTTTTAAGCATTGACTATCTAAATGTAAAAGAACGATGGAAGAGCCAGGAATTTTCCATCAACCTGTGGTCAGAGTTCGCTGTCTACCTGAATAGTTTTATTAACCCCGTAATATACTACGGACGAATGAGTCTGTTCCGTAGAGTTGCACGGGAGATGTTGTGTGAAGGCAAGACAGAAAGACAGAATCATCTTCATGAGTAGATTAGATTTATCCTGAAAAAGATGCTCAATCAACAAAGAAGATGTTCTGCTGCAATTAAAAAGACAAGTAGAAAGCTCTTCGCAGTGGAATGACATAAATAATGTAAACACATTCAGCCCGGAAAAACTGAACTAGAAGTACAATAATTTCATGAAATTAATATCAAACTGCAATTTCTGAATCTACCATCCAGTGCAAAATTTTGTGGTATAGTTGTGAAAGTTTAATTTAGCATAATCATGGTATAGCTTGTTTCGCATCGTATTGGTTTTGGTTGTGACTCCTAGAATTGATCATCATTGTAATTGAACTAGAATTGATCAGCTTTATTTCGCATAATTTTAGGCTTGTGTGCCATTTTACTTCAACATGATAAATCTTTCGAAGAAACCAGTACAAAGAATTGTGCATGTCATTTATAGTAGTACAGTAAATTAGCTTATAATCTGTTTTGTCAACATAGAATAAAATTATAAAAAGCACATCGTTTTTTTCAAGTTTCCCTCTGGTGCTGGTCTCAGTTTCGTTTGGTAAATCAAGCTTTAGTGTCCACAATCAGCAGTCAAGAATGTATTTGGTGTGTAGCTAAAATATTAAAATAGTTAATGAAGATTTTATCATCTATTTCGTAAGTCATCTTCGATGGTTATGACATGCACTTTGTTTACCAGGCCAAACCCTTGAAAAGATATTTTAAGCATACGCGAATGAAAAATATACAAGACCAAGAGACCGCCCAAAATTATTTTGGCTTTCGAAAAAACCAAACCTATGGTACATTTATTAAAACAAAATGGAAAGAATCTTGTGTTTGCCTGGCAAAAATAATTCAACTAAAAACTCGTATTCACCAAGTAAATTCACTTGCGAAAAAAAGCGTTTTATAAAATAATAATAATTTATAAATCAATCAGAAGAAAAATCTAACGTATCACAGCATGGGACAATATACTTTAGAGCTACAACCATGTCAAGAATTAAAAATGATGTCTTTATTTCCTTACTGAAATCAATATACGATACACAGAGATAAACACAGTCGGTATCGAATACATTTTTTGAATACTTTTAATACAGACCTTGACACAAAAATCAAGGACGGAAATTCATTAAAATCTTTATGATCAACGTCTTTGAATTATAAGAAAACTTAGAGTAAATATCTTATCCATGATTATAGTTATAACTTTTAAGTTCAAGAGCTTTACAAAGATATTTAAAATAGACTTACAATAAACTGTTTTATTTTGATCCTGTATTTTATTCCATTTTAGTGGCTAGGAGACACTGAATGGGTGATGGTTAGAACTTGAATAGGCTATAGAGTAGTGGAAATCATTCATTAAACAAAATCAAGAAACTTGATAAATGTGAATAAAAGATTTTCCAACCAAAATTAAAGTAAAAAGGCACATTTCATAATGGCGTCTAGGCAATGTTGACAAATACCATCCACTTTTCAATCAATAAATCAAACAAAAGTAAGAGTGGAAAGCCCTTCTTGATCAGCTGGATCAATAAAAGCCATGGTCCTCTCATCAACAATTCATCGCTTCTCCTCTCATCAACTCAAAATTTATCCCTTCTTCTCATCAACTCATAATTTGTCCCTTCTCTTCTCATCAACTCAAGATTTATCCATTCTTTTCTCATCAACTCAATACCTACTCTTACTCCTTTCAGCAACCCAAACCACATCCTACCAACAATTTCAAGACATCTCTGTGATGATCAGTTCATCCATCAATCCTGATCGATACATGGCTGCAGCTGCTCCAATGAAGAATTCTTTGTTCAGTTTTTCGTGTTTTTGACTTGAAGATAAAATTTTTCAGATCACAATTCAAATGCAGGATTTAAACTCTGAGCTGGAAATTTCAACCATGCTGTCGTAAATCAAAACTGATCGATAGATGTCTGTAGCCATTCCAATGAAGAATTTCTTATTGTACGACTTTTTTATATCAATTAAGAACAACTAAAACTACTAAAACTACAATTACATTAAGCTGTGACATTCATGGCGAGAAAAGACACAAGGTCACCGAGTCCTCACCATAAATGCCACATACAATTCAACAACAAGTTACATCATCTAAGAAAAAAAGAAAGAGAAAATAGGAAAAAATAAAAGTTAGAGAAAGAAAAGACAGGGGTGCTGCGGCTGTATTTTGGCATCAACTAAACCTTGCCGAGGCCTTACCGAAGGAAATTGTTGCTTCTAATATAATTCTGTTTGCAACAGTACCCAAATTCCGATCTCCAAACAAGAGTAAATGACAAAGGTCTTTCATATTTACATCGGCAACATTGTATCCATCGATACCTGAGAGCTGATCAAAGAGATTCAATTTGATTTTATCATTAGCAATTCAATTTGATTTCTTTTCGAGTTGATGATATATAGACAAATGTTTTCAGCTCATCATTTTAATACAGCATATAAAACTATGAGCTAGAGATTTCAACTAGGTTGTTGCAATTTAAATCATAATCTGAAATTTAAAGTTTAGTTTCGTTTACTCCAACAGGCTATTTTACAATTGTAAATGTTAGCAGTAATAGTATTTCAAGAAATTTAGCTATCTAGTTTAAGTATTAAATTCAGCTGATTTATGTAAATGTTTGTTTTTAAAATATTCTTTATTTGTAAAGCCACTATCATTTAAAGCTGTCGTATTCTTAAAGCTATGAAATATACAGTAACGAGAAGAAAGCCCGTTAAAACAAAACACAAAATTAGACGCAAGGTAAATAATTTTTATCTCCCAAATATATAGCATCATAGAAGCAACCTGGATTTGTGGAGCCATTGAAAGCGTTTAATGCCATAATGGTTTCAAAAGTTTTTTAAAAGGATGCTCTTTATATTTACATAGCTTACCAACTGGCCTAATATTTGGTGACTTAAGATTTCCAAACACTCTATATGTAGGGAGAGTTGAACTTTGCAACATTACTCTTTAACCTGTGTGACCTCTAGCAAAAGCATCAACTGGGAAGACCTTGGCGGGTTTTGGTTAGAATCTACTATGGAAAGAGTAATTATCTTTTTTCTCTTCAGCATTTTTATGCTAGTAAGCGGAGACGCTGAGACCCAGGAATTAAATGCGATATTTGATGATCTAGAGAAGCAACTGAATTACAAGCAAGAATTTGTCTCGCTGATCAAAGACGTTAAAGATGAAGTCACAAAATCACCAACCATCACAACTCGAACACTAGGCATGGCAAAAGCCCTGAACTTGGCTGTCCCTAAATTGATTAGCTCCAGCAGTACAGAGGTAAGTTTACAAGTTACATGTATCATGGAATTTTCTCACAATGAAAACTTTGCATAGAGATATGCTACATGTATTACTCACATTCTTTTTCCTTTATAGATTGCACGTGGAATTTTCGAGGTTGTGGCAGGAATAGCAGAGAATCTTCCGTTTGGCCAGTTCATCGCACCCCTTGCATCTCTTGTATCTGGTATCATCGGAATTGTTTCCGGTGCAAAAGTTGACAACACAATGCAGACATTTATACAGCAAGTTGTACGTGAAGAATCAGATAACGAGCTCGAGAGTCAAGCAATGGCCAGCAAACAAGAACTCACTACAGCTTTTAACTACCTTATTTCTAAGCACTCCCAAACGCTAGACCAAGCTGATGTTACAAGACTTGTTTCTCAGGTTCCAATAACCACAGGCTAGTATAATCAGCTTTTAATGTCAACAGGTTAAAATTGAGCAAGATTTTTGTACTGAAGAGCATTGTTGTCTCCACTGGTTGCAAGAACGATTAAATTTTCGATGCCAGCCTTTCATCTAAGGGCATTTCATTATCTCATTCACTCTTTTAAATAGCAATTGTTTGATTAAAATGAAAACTTAGGTTTGTGTCTTTAATCATAAGCAAAAAGTGGTCGATGACCCTCTTGGCTTCCACCTCCAACAAAATTGTGGCTACATATATTTCAATTGCATGGGCAGCATTCTCTTTGTAGCAATGAATAAACTTTGTTATAACTCCTCAGGCTAAAGCTACACTATACCGGATTGCTATCGGAGCGGAGCAGAGCGAAGCAGAGCGGAGTAACTTTTACTCCGGAGTGATATTTAGGGTAGCAGTTACACTACGACGCTCCGCTCGCTCATAAGCCTGCATTCCTTTACATTGCTGGTGCACAAAATCCACCAGATTAAATTTGTTGATGATATTTTCGAATCTATGTGCTGTTGCGAATTCATTTTCAATAGCTATGCATAAAATGACGAAAACAACCATTAAACTGAAAGATAAATGATGGGGTTTGTAGAACGGATAGCGAGATTATGTTCCTATCTGACGTGTTAAAGTATGTTTTTCGTCCAAGGGCCACTTCAAATAAGTTTGGGAAGAGATGAAATTCAAATACGAAAATGCTGGGACGATTTCGATTTGGCATTATCCAACAGAAACAAAATCTCAGAAATCGCTATTGTTTACTAACGATCGAATTGCTTCAATCAGAAAACAATAAGAAAATTCTTTGTTTCGAAGAATAGCATATCGGAATCGTGCGATTACACTACAACGCTCCGCTACGGAGTGACTCCGGAGTGACTTTCGTATCACCTCCAGAGCGGAGTGATTTTCTCTCCGCTAATCAGAGCGTTGTGTACCGGATTGGTGTGGCATAGTGTAACTCAAACTCCTATCCGATATGAAAGTTATTCCGCTCCGATAACAATCCGGTATAGTGTAACTGGCACCTCAAAATACCAACCTATAGATATTCAGGTGGAACAACTTGTGCCTATCAGCAGCAAAATATAATTCCTCAATTTTACGTCGGAATGCTTAGAAAGAACATTTGGAACAACTGATTCCAGATGGGGTGTATCTGGGCTAAATGCAATCTTGTAATTTGTATTGGATGGGTGTTAGCATATCTAGAACTACTAGCTTACTAAGTCACATAGGAATTTTATGATGGATTAAAATTGCCAGGAGACTGTAATATAGATAGATATCTTTAATAATTGTGTTGCAAAGCAAACTGACATTTATACATTGCCAAATCTAAATCGATTACATAAGCATTAACATTAAACCCGATAACCCTATAATATGAGTTTTCGAATTTCTGTTGCAGGTGTGGGAATTTTGGCTTTGTTAGAATCCCGCATAGCATCTCGATCACTTACAGCAACATCGTATGAAGCAGCCAAGAGGCCCTACAGTTTTTGCAGTTTGTATGCGCAAATAGCCACAATACGTGACATGGTGATTGATGACCTGATCTTTCTTCTAAGAAAGGCTGGCGATGATGATGAAGCGAAAAGCTATAATACTGTGAAATCTTCATTCCTGAATAATTACAAGACTGCATTGAAATTCCTTCATGCACCAAAGATTGAGCAAACTACCACTGTTTCTCACTACTATCCACCAGGGCACGATGCCAAAAGCAAGTACTTGCGGGACTTCATGAAACTGGCAGGTACGAAACTTCTCTGCTTTGAATTTGGCACTACAATAGGCAAACATGGTTACTATATTTTAAAGGATCTGCTTAAAAGAAATAGAATGAATTTCAAGGATTTGTTAAGCATGACCAATTTTTTTAAATTTGGAGTAAGTGGGCATTAATTCTGTATGTATTATATTTGTGAATGGCAACCAGAGACAAGGAAACATGCAAGCAATTTTAATTTACAAAAGTCCCATTTTTAGGAGAGTCTCTCCTTCTATGCCTCTCTTTTATAATCTTTGCTAGCCGTTCTTTGGTTTCTTGTTCTCAGGTATCCCTGATATGGCCAGTTGGACTGGATCCAAATACATTCTGCTCTCGGTAAGATGGCCAAAATATCACATAAAAATGTTAGCATCGAAATATCTCTATTTTTCCTACGGCACAGTTCCTGACTATAATCAAATCCTGTTCATTCGACGTTCTGATGGCTTCTATCAACTAAAGAGGGGAACTGCCTGGTTCACAATCGATCCAAACTACCCCGATTACGTCAAATCCACTGACAAAGAGCCAGTCAACGATCCAAATGGTCATTTTGTAGTCGTGAGGTACCCACCAACGTCTACTGGAGGAAAGGATATAGTGGTTGTTATGAGCAGAAAGTATCGTGGGAAATACATAGCAGGCCAGTCCGGAAGCAGCTATGTGAAGCTTCTAGGACAGGACTTTGGGAGGGAAATGCAGTTCTTTTACAAGAAATGCAACAGAATCTTCAACCATGGTACTGGAACCTGGTTTTGTGACAAACTTCCATGATCAAAATATTATAACTATGTAATAACGCAGTGATGTAAAATCATAAGCAAAGAACACAAATGATTCATGTTTCTTGTATTTTTCATCTACTGGACTTTCGGTGGTTCCAAAATTCCATTTTTGCCATTCTCTTTCTGCTTTATCAGTATATACCTTCTAACATACAGTTGCCTGTTGATCTCAGAGTTGGAACGTGGAACTGGTTTTCTTTACCCAACAAAGCATGTACTGCTCTAGCCACCTGACTTCAAGCACCTAACGCAGACAGTAATTTTCAGCTTCTGATAGTAATGGGATGTCATGTATTGGGAAAACAATTCCTCATTGAAATCTTCATGACATATTCTAGTAGGCTCTTGTCACTAGCGTAAACAATCACTTGATGAGCGGTGGTGTAGAAACCAGTCCTTTTTTGGAATTTCATTTGCACCTTTCTTTTTAAATGCACTAGTATGATGAACTGGGGGATTTATGCCTCGTTTTCGCCCATGCTGAGCGTGTCGCTCAAAAGATCACAAAAGACTTAAGAATTCTTTTTGAATAACAATGTCATACGGATAAATCTGTATAGTTTATTCATTATATCCACCCCCATATCTCGATTGCTACTTTCTAATTTTTCATTCTCACGATCGCTATTGATAACAAACTTTGAATAACATGGTTTGTGTAGCATGTATCTGCAGCACAAAGGGCATAAGACTCACCAATAATTAGCAACTGTGAAAGATTGGCAGCAGAAAACAACTGTTGCATTCTGCTTTATCTACTATGGGTTCTATTTTTGTTTTCTAAAGTAAGAAGCACAGTAAACATGTCATTATGGAAACAATTTTCTGTTCTTTGACGTTATCAATTTGTCACATTTTTGGTCCAAATCCAAAATGACCCACCTTGGATTTATTCAGAATCAGGGAAAAAACTTGGAGTTTGGTAAAAATTCAGTAACGTATACTTAATACTCAGCCTATGTTTAACAGACCAACCGGTAATTTTCATGGACGGCACAGGCAAGAGGGCAAAAGATTTGCACAAGAACAGAAAAGAATGAATGTATTGCATCTGCTCATACTCGTTTTATTAGCTTGCTACCTACCATACTGGTTTACAAGAAGTGTTGCTTATTTTAGAAGGCAACTTTATCCAGTTTCAGATGCGGATGAAATTTTGCGAATGTTGACAGATTTTGCATTGATGTTCAACAGCCTCCTAAATCCAATTCTATATTATGCCAGAGTGAATGAAGTCAGAGTTGCAATGCGGAAAGTCTTTAGATTTCACAAGAAAAACAACAGCGAATGAGTTCTTGTGGCCTAGGCCTGATAAAATGTTTATTCACGAGATACCTTTCTGCAATGTCTTTGATATAATTTAAGTGAAACCTTGTTTGAAGCCCTAAATAGAATGACACTATATATAAATATAGATATCACTAGCTAATTATTGGTGAAAGGACATAGAGGTTGTGATGATTAAAAGGTACCGTGGAAAACACATACCAGGCAAGTCCAAACCGCCTGCGAGAAGCTTCAAAGCAAAGACCGAGATACAACTTTTTGCTTGGGGGGAGGGCAGCCCTTATAAATCAGCGTATCAACAGCCATATTTTAGAAAATAAAAGTATTTTACTTACGCAACGTAAGTTTTTTGGAGGGGCCAATGCGCCACCAGACAGCCCCCTGTATATCGGTCCTTGGTTCAAAGGCATAACTTATGGCAATACAATGCAGTATTTATTAAAGTAATGCATCAGAAATTTCAACTCTGTCGCTGGAACATGATTTATGATAAAGTTGAACATCATACTGTTACTATGTATTAATGCATTGATTTACAATAAATATTTCAATAGTAAAATCAGTGCCTGTTTCTTCTGTTTTCTATCTAGTTGGTTTTCAGTTGTTCCAAAATCTTTGTTACTTAGTATTTTCTGCTGAATTAATAGTCTTTGCTTTATTTTCAAAAAACTGAAAAACTTACCAATATAATTAAAATGATATCAAATGGAAGGTATATAGCTCGTGAAAATCTCATTCGATTTCTCCTGTTAGCAATAGAAATGAGAAAAAACGCAAAAGGAAACTAGCTTCCCATTTCTCTTTTACCAATTTTTGTAAAAATGCTCGAAAGACATATCTACGATTCTTTATAATTGCAACTTGTATCATGCAAGATACTTGGCCAAATCAGTACTGGCTTTGTCCAGGAGACTCAACAGTAAATCAGTTACTCTCTATAACGCATACGAAAGCTTTTGATTGTAGTCCTATGCTCGATGTTCGTTTTGTGTATCTTGATATTTCCAAAGCATCTGACAGGGTTTGGCATTACTCTCTAATCTTTAAACTAAAACAACGTGACGTCTCAGGATAATTTATTTCTTTGAACCAAAGTTTTCTCAAAGATCGATAACAATGACATGTACCCAACAAGAAATGAAATCCAGGATACTGAACAATTTTTGCCCCGCTCCTATTTTGATGCTCAACGAAAACATCTCGTTGGAGTTCTTGTATTGTTACGGCTATTCATAAAATTTGTCGACTTGTCTAATACCTATCAGTTATTTTTTCTAGATACATGCTATGCAGCCACCATTTCTCCTAAAGTAGCGTTCCTTATATTGTATGTTATGCACAATTATGTGTAGTTTAACTTTTATTTAACGCCATGGGGTAGTCACAGATTTTTGCTCCTCGTGGTATAATCCTTGTCGTATTGTTAAGTAGTTTGTGAGTAGTGTAATTATGTAACATGTATTGTAAATTACAATATCATTAGAGGTATACAAAACAATCTTATTAAAATGCTTGTCTTACTTTTAAGTCTTACTTTTAAAATCAATTATCTTACTTTAAAAAAATCAGTTCTGTTCATCGTTAAATTTGCCAGAATACATTGAAAAATTTCTGCTTGAAACATATTTTTAAAATGCCGAATGATTTTCTATGCTGAAACAATGTGAAGTAAAACCTGCAACTGTGGAAACAAAGTCTTCCTAGAAGGCTTGCTTCGAGTCGTGAAATATTTCAAAAAGTTCCTAGCTTTAATGACTATTTACAACTTAAAAGAACGTCAATATATAGTGGGATCAAAGTGTTTATATATAGAGGAGATTTTTATTGTGGATTACAATGCCCAATTTGCTGAATTTGTTAGGTTTCTAGTTTAATCAAGCGAATCAAAAGCTGATGGTGTCAAACCTGCCATTTGGTAAAGCCTTCCAAGTGTACTAATTAGGTTCATCTCGTTTTAGACATTTATTTAACAAGAACTTCTCTTTGTCATTTAAACCGCCAAATTCTTTGTTTGGTTATGAAATTCAAATTTCCTGCTTCATATTCAATCTAGAACTGAGAAGATGTTTATTCATTAGTTTGCAGTCCAAGTATAACAAAAAACAGAATGAATTGATGGCATTTGCGATTTCAAGTCTGGGAAACAAGATCATAGACTAAGCGTAGATAAAAAACCTTGGAGGATCATTTTGAGGCTTTTTATTTGCAGGCTTCAAAGAAAACCAACTTGTTATGAAAGGCCATGGTAATAACAGGTATTTTCCATGATTCAAAATTCCGACATAACTAGTATAAGTTGATTATCCTGCGAGCTATTTGACGTCTTGAGCCAACAGGTATTCAAGCTCTAATCCACGGACAAGGCACAAAAAATGAGTGAAGATCGTGTTATGCTTTCTCAAAATACATACACCAGCATCAAGATCATTCTTCCAATCGATGTTGCTGTTGCAGTTTTGACAGGCCTTGCAAACTGTGCATTTTTGATCATGTTGATAAAAACAAAATCACTACACAAACCTTCTTTTGTGTTCCTCGGAGCATTGAGTACCAGCGACGTTCTAGTAGGCTTTGTGGTACAGCCATTGTGGATAGCCGACTACAGTTTTAGAGTTACTGGGAACTTCAACGAAAATCTATTCTACATCAGAGGGTCCGTTGGTTGGCTATGTATAGGATCTTCCTTTCTTTTTATCGTGTTGATTAGCCTAGATATGTGCATTGCGGTTTGTCGTCCATTTTGGTATCACGTGGTTAGCTCTTGCAAAGGACACCTCACAATTTCTGCAGTAGCCATAATAATTTGGTGCATTTTTTCTGCAGTTGGCTTTGTTCTCTTTACATACAACAACCCAACTTATATCTTCAAATCCACGCTAACAGTTACTGTTGGCAGTCTTATACTTCTACTTTATAGCTTTTGCAAAATAAATGCCGTTTTACAAAAACAGAGGAGACAAATTTCAGTTTTACAAAGTGCAATACTACATAGGCAAGAGAGCCAAAGATTTAGGCAAGAGAAGAAAAGAATAAACGTTTTGCTATTGCTAATACTGATTCTATTGGCTTGCTACCTACCATACTGGTTCATTGTAGGTGGTGCATTCCTTAAAGGACAATTTTTCCAATGTCTGATGTAGATGAAATTTTAGAAATGTGGGCTGATTTTGCAGTGATGTTCAACAGTCTCCTAAATCCGATTTTATATTATGCTCGAATTCATGAAATCAGAGTTGCAATGCGTAAGGTCTTTGGATTTCCCAAGGAAGATAGCACGATATCAGTCCTTGAGACCTGATTAAATAGAAACTCGTGACTGAGCTTTCTGTAATGTCTCTGATAGATTCTAAGCAAAACTTTGTCTGTGACATTACATGAAAAGAAGCGATGCATTTAGAACTTTGCAAAGATGATAGAAGAATTTTTGAGCAATGAAATTCGTCTGCCTGTTGGTAGGTAATGAAAGCAAGCAACTTGTTAACTACATATTCTGTTGAATAGCCCTTGACATTGCGTGGCGGTATACCTGAGAAAGATCACACAGAACTATCAAGCTATTGCCAGAACGCTAATTAATCCGAATGTAAACCGACGCTTGAAATCAATTATAAGTGTTTAAACGCCACCAGAAATCTAATATGGATTTTTTCGAAAATCTTTTACTATGTACAAATGTTTGGTTTTTAAGAAAAATTTTATTCATATCTTGGCAACCATGTTTGAATCATCTGTAAAATAACTTTAAAAAGTACCAGCAGAAGTATATTGATATTTTGGAATAAGCGAAATCTAAGCAAATTAAGCTTTTCACCAATTTAAGTTCTGTTATTATTTCCTAGCAGGAGCAGAAGGTGAAAAAAGTGAAAAGGGTAAAAAGGGTAAAAAGGATGAACAAGAAGCAATAACTGAGAGAGAGAGGAAAACTTGCTAAGTGTAGGTTAACAGGACTGGATGCTAAAACGCTTTAATGTAGAAGAAAATTTATGTTGCGTTTGTTGTCTGTATATCATGTAACCATTCAATGATGATAAATCTGCCTCGAGCCTTTAAGGTGATGTATATGAGTTGCCTAAGCGCTTAAAACGTGTAATTCTACTCATATATTGCAGAAAATTCTAATCTTTAACATAGAGGGGGGGGGCTGTAGGGGTAGTAACAATCGTATATTTCTCGTCTTGTTTTTAACCAGAGACTCTCTTTTTGTGCTTCAAAGCATCCAATCATACATCACGTTGAGCAAAGATAGACACTGAAAGTGGCAGGTGATTAAGGTTCATTCTTGCAGAAAAATGTCGATCAGTCTTTGAAAGGTTTTCTTGCGTAAACGGTTAGCTCTGTGAATAGCTAGAAGATAAATGAACATTGAATTCTTTTCTTCGACAAAGGACCTCCTTGGCAGCCATCCTGATTTCTTTGATTCTGCTATAGTATATCAATGGATTGACAAAACTATTGACTAGTAAAAGGAAGTCTGTCCAGATCTCACTGAAAACAAAATCCGTACTTGTTTTGAAGGCATCTAGTTTCCACAATGCAAGAGCGTTTTGAATCAGCCATGGACTGTAGCAGATAAAGAATAGAAGCATGATAATCATGATAACGTGTGTCTTGTTTCTCTCTTTTGTTTGCCTTGAACTCTGCTTACGTCGAGACATTGACACGTTTGCAATTGCCTCTGTAGATTGAGTTCTCAAAAAGTCGCCCACTTTGACAAGTTGTCTCCTTGTTTTTAGCAGTGTTTTCAATATCATAATGTTGCAAAATATAATAAGAATTGATAACATACACGTTATTAAAAAAGTGATGCGCTTCCTCTCATAGGCAGGAATGATAAAAAACAGTCCATAGAACACTGCATTTAAAAACACGATAATAATTGATATATGTATGTGAGTTCGACATGTCGCCTTTGCGAAATACATGAACGGATGACAAATCGCTGTATATCTGTCTACGCTGACAAGTCCAAGGAACTGAAAGGACAGTCCAACACAAACTAATGTCAGTGTTCTTTTTATTAAACTGAGTTTTTCAAACGGCTTGTCATTTAAAAACGATGAAAATTCGATTATCCACAGTGGCTGCACTGCTATCCCGATAAATATATCACTTACGCACAAAGCTCCTAGCAGCATGTTTGAAGGTGTATGTAATCGGCTCTTTTTCATTAGTGTGGCCATAAAAATGCAGTTTCCAACTATAGTAAGAAGTGCAACTAGCGAATCCAAAGCTAAAAATGCCTTGATGTGAGCTGCTACTGTGGCGTCCAAGTATGTCATATTACCTTGCATTCTCTCTCAAAAGCGAATTTGCATCAACTTCAACCTCCTGTATAGAGTTTGGTACAACTTGATTCAATATTAACCAAGCTCATGCCATTCATCTATAGCTTAGCGCGAACTGAGCGAATGTGAAAGAAATAACTGAACAAGGAGGTGTTAAAGTTCTTGTCAACAGTTTTGATTGTATCCAAACATTTGCAGGTGTAACAACAATGATCTTATTCAGCTTTGTAAGGTTTACATGGCAGCAGGATAGAATGTTTACATCCTATTTCTATGGTTTAAATTAAGTCCAGAAAAGTCTTGAAAGAAGAAAGTTATCCATGGATTTGCGTTGTATTACAAAGCTTACAGACTCTATAGAGCAAGTGTTGTCCATATTAATCTGGTCAAACTGACTCAATGGCGATTCCGATGCGATACTAATGTCACCATCAACCAAAACTAATACCGCCGCAATGCATTATCAAACGTTACTGGATAACGAATAATTGATTCATTTAGCAAGGGATTATATCTACTGGACATTGAGGTTAAGAAACTTCAACGTGCAAAGACTTTGTCATCACTTCTAGCCTTTCTCGAGAGTGCAAGAGGTCATCTTACATAATCGGGCTTCAATGTAGAAAAGCGAAACGAAGAGTCGAAGAGCGCGAAGATTGATTTTAAATGTTGATTCAACTGTTGGTTTAAGTGTTGACTTTATCAAAGCTTGGAACACAATCAGATTTCACTTCATACAACCAATGTACCACCAAATGATAACAGACATTGGCGCAGACTTGGGAGGGGCTTCAGGGCTTGAGCCCCTCCTGATGAAAGCTAGGCTATCAGTTGTTAGGACTAATTTTTCATATTTTTTTTCAATCTCATAAAATCACATGAAAAGATTTGATCAAGATCAAACATTAACGACGATAAAAAATGCACAAAAAATCACCTTAGAACCCTCAGCTAAGCCTCTTTCTATCCTCTGCCGTCGACAGCCACCAATAGCAATTGCCATTAATTTTCGAGAATAGAGAAAAATGGATGAACAAATGGTACGTAACATATTCACCGACATGGCATTTTCGGAGAGAAACTAGCAGCAAGGGCAAGCCTTTTTTTATATAATCCGCAAAAACAATGAATCTAAATTAAACTCATTCCATCATGATAAGTAAACAACTGTGCAATGTCTCTTAACATTTTCGAGTCAGTACGAAGACAAGAGTTTTCTAATGTTTTAGCGATCTCAGTACTGAGATTCTTATGGAATGCATTTGACAAAAAAGTTGCGTATACAAACTATTCTATGCTTCCATAAACATATTTTTAATTAATTTGCTTGTAAATATTGTAGGCCTAACCTATTCCTTTGCTTGTCACTGCTATGAAAGTCGTTGAAAGTACTCCGCATATTTTCACTGTGTCTCTAACTCCACTGCCTCAACACGCTTAGTTTCAGAAAGAGGTTTAGAATTAAACAGGTAAAGAAGACAAAACCAAAAAAATCAGTTATTCTTCTCTCTATAACGATTGTTTTTTAGCAATATGGTTGAGTCGAAATCTAGGGTCCCGTGATAACTTTTAGGAGAACTTGTTTTGAAAGTTGATTTTGGTATTTCAAAGTACGCTCTTCAAAATGAGCCAGGGTACATTTTGATTTTCGATGGGCGTTGGCCAGAAATGACGTCGTAAAATATGCACCTATAAAACCTTTTTTACGGTCATAACTCGAGACAAGTAAGTCAACTATATATGAAACTTCCCTTTCAGTTTCCTGTCTGTGACGTCATCGACCTTCAGTGACGTCATAGCATAAATTGCTGATATCATAAAAATATAACTTGATGTACATCATTCGAAAGCATTCCTCACGAGGAGTCGAATGATGTGTATTTTGAATGAATTTGACTTACTTGTCTTGAGTTATAACCGTAAAAATGATTTTACAGGTGCATATTTTATGACGTCATTTCCGGCTAACGACCATCAAAAATCAAAATGTACCCAAGCTCATTTTGAAGAGCGTACTTTGAAATACCAAAATCAACTTTCAAAACAAGTTATCCTAAAAGTTGTCACGGGACCCTAGATTTCGACTCAACTAATATTTAAACATAAAAACAACAAAACGTAAACAGCAATGTGAAAACAGAATAACAGAATACAGAATACATACAATTCTATTTGAAATTTCAAGTGAATAATTTCAATTAACAACTAGGTATGTCTCATTTTAATTTTCAGGCAAAAAGCATTAACCAAACTTTGTCATTGCCCAAATGTCTTTGAAAAGAGCAATCAAACTCCTTTGATACAATGCAAACTGCGTTACAAGTCTCGAGGTTCTGGCTGCTAAGATTTGACTCATCAATTAATGTAGATTTTGCAGTTGAAGATGACTTATAAAGGTAAGATTCCAAGATAATCTTTCAATATACCCTTGATGCTTAACTGCCACCCGAATTCCTTATTCACAAGAGCCTCCAGTCATCTCACAACATTGACATTTCAAAAATATGGCAAGACTCGTATTGAAACTATACCTCGCGATGAAATAAGTCTTTAGCTGCTTTGCGAAATGCTTTCATTCTTGCGTAGTATATCAACGGGTTTACAAGACTATTTGCCAATGCAAAACACTCTGCCCAAGGATCAACAAACTCTTTCACATCCTTGTAGAAATCTGCTGATTCCAAAATGTTTTTCACGACTATCGGAGCAAATGAAACACAGAAGGCAATTACAACGACCAACATCACATATGCCTTGTCTTTATTTTCTTTTCTTTGCTTTTGCTGTCTCTCAGTAATGTTAGGTGCTCTCTCAATCTGAGCTATTTGTTTGCTTTGCCTTCTAATTACTCTAAAAAGTTTCCAGTTGCAGTACAAAACGGGCAGCAAACCCAACATTAGTAAACTTGTGCTTGGAAAATTAACACTAAAATGGACAACAACTATTGGAATAGTGGCAAACAAAACCAAAACAGAGGCAATAATGTGCGTTTTGCATGTAGCATGTTCATGGAACCAAAATGGGTGGACGACAGCAATGTATCTGTCTATGCTAATGCAAGTCATATAAAGAAGAGAGGACACCATTAAAAACGCCAATACATATCGTTTGTATTTGTTTGTTGGGCTCTTGTCAATGCTGTTGAGTCTTTTCCCATAATCTTCTAGCCATAGAGGGTGTCCACAAATGCCAACAAGGAAATCGCACATGCTCATAGCACCAAAAATCATATGTGAAGGTGTGTGCAAGGAAGGTGTTTTTACCAAAGTTACAATGAATGTTCCATTGAGGATCGATGTCAGGAGGGCAACAATCGAGTCGATGGTCAAGAATATGATTATGTTTATATCATACCAGCTCGCCAAGGACATATTTTTCTAGCACCAGAGCAGCATGAAATAATCAAATGATATCCACGCGAAGCAATATACTACCAAGGTCCGGTATTATTAATATTCCTTAACCAATAAGCAGGGACAATAGCTGATGACAATGACGACCGGATTAAAAAAGATTTGCCTCAGAAAACTCAAACCAAAATTAAATTTGAAAACTCTGCAGTGCAAGAAGAAAATTACTCATGATATCAAGAGTCTTGGTCTTATGGCTGCATGCGTGCAAGGCCTTTCTGCTAAAAGTAAACAGTTTTCTTTTCTAAAAGATACACGTTATCCAAAAGCAAAGACTTTCTTGCCATTCGATATAACAATCATATACAAGCAAATACAGCTGCATCTGCTTTTGCAAAAACATGATACGATTAAAGGTAAATAGTCGCTCATAGGATCAATACTCTAAAATAAAAGTAGACGTTTTCTTTGAAAATAGGAGCAAACTGAACTGTCAAAATAACAGAAAATTGCATCTGCTTTTCAGAGAAGCTATGAAACGAAAATTTAATATATGACAAATAGTAGCTTGATAGTGAAACACAGCTACTTGAAATGTTGCTACACCCGACTAATGACACATGCTGGGAAGTCCAACCAATGCAATTTTTGTGGGTAGATAAGCATTCTCTGATGCAATATTCAATTCGCTACTGATATCAGTTTGCCTCTTTACACCCTCTCTTTTTCAAGGACCGATTGTTAAAATGATTTGTGTCGGTGCTAGTTGCATAAAAAGTATGTTACAAAGATCAAAACCAGTAAAAGTAGCTCCTGCTTCTAGGTAGGTTAGATTTTTATGACGTAGGTTCTGTCAAAAGGAATTGTAGATACAATGACAAAAAAGTCGTCAACATAATAAATGTCTTTGCAGCTTATAGCAAATGACAAGAAGAGAAAATCCTGTTAATTCCAAAAATAAGTCCAGAGAAAGGCAAGGAAAACTTTGCAACAAAGGAAAAATCTTTATAGCAATGCATACCAGAAGCAATGCCTGAGAAAATGATGCTTTTTATCAATGTACCTCTAGTAGAAAGTTTCAGACTATTTGAGAAAATCAAGCTATTAGTAATGTATGGTACCCTCGTGTTTAGTTAGACTTTAGTCAAGTGACTGACCTATAATAATCGCTTTTTAAAGTAATTCGCTATTCTGATGTAGTATTTTGCTTAGTAAACTAAACATAAGTCTACGTTAAATATTACAGTAACTAACAGTAGCCTGTCATTTATAAAAGTTTGACGACACCTTGGTGGTAATTTAGTAGGTTGTGAATAGCTTTGAAAAAATTTATATTGTTTTAGAATATGTAGAAATTTTTTTATAAAATCGTGCTAGCAAATTTTTTGGTGAAGAAGTAATCAATAAAATCAACAGGGAATTACTGATTTCTTTTCTAGTCTAACCCTAGCTGCCAATATTTTAGTTTAACATCGTATTGTAGGAAGTTTTTGAGTGTATTCTATAGTGAATCATAGATTTTTTATATTCTCAAAGAATTTTTCAATTTTGAACGTGAATAAATTTTCCAGAGGGGAAAACATTATTTGGCCTGACAAGAATACTGCCTTTTTTAAAACAAGAATTAACACCATAAGGCAGACATGCATCTTTATTAGAATGCCGGAAATTCGACTTTTATTTCTTCACAACTTAGGACAAGATGGTTTTAAAACCTCCCAGCTTTTATTGAAACAGCACAAAATATTGCAAAGACGACGCTCAAGAAGCGGCTGTAGAATGCCACGATTAAGTGGCAACAAAACGATGAGACTGTCTCACATATTCTCTTCTGTTCATGGAAAGAGGAGAAAAATAGACTATTGTTTAAAAAAACGAAAGTAACTAGGAGGAGGTGGATAATTTTCCCTCCTCCCAACCCTTAGTTAGTATGTAAAAGAGGGCTTTTTTCACCGAACCATAGATGCTAGGAGCAATTCTTCAGTGTTCTAAAAACCACTGGCTTTTTCAAAACCCTGCTGACTAGCGAAGAAAATAATTTGCCTTGCAAAGCTTTGATTTTTATCTTCCTTTCAAAGCAGCATCATCCTTCCTTAGTTTTTGCTCCTATCTCGGTTGCCTTGGTTTCCAGATTTAAAAAAGGAATATGTGAAGAAAGAGCTATTAAATCTAGCAGGCACTTTTATTATCTAATGTAAACACCTCTTGCTGGTCAGACATTAATTTTAATGAACATTATGTCAACGAGCAGAAAACCTAACTTACTCAACTTTAACGATTCTTTGTTTTCGTCAAACCCTGTTCATCACTCTTTTGCACGAGTTCATACTTTGTGTTTGCAAAAGAAACACCATTTAAAACCTTTGAAAACTCTTGCCTATTTATTTTGTTTGGTAATCATGTTTCCTTTATTTCCCTGAACCGATTAGTGTTTCTTTTCAAAACAGAGTACTTCTCAACCTTCTTAATGAACTTTTATAAATTTTGGCTGACAATCAAACGGTGAGGCAAATCATTACAATGTTCTTTTGATGTATGTAAACGACAGTCTAGAAATGACAAGTTTAGGTGCATTATCCACAAACAAACAACATTGAATCTAAATTCAACTCTTTTCCTCCCAGTCGCTTAACACTTTTGAGTCAGTACCATGAGTTTCTTATTCCCAGAACTTAGTTTTTATAAAATGCCTTTTTTATAAAACGTATGTTTACCGATATAGGCGTCATGAATATAGCCGATATAGGCGTTAAGATGAATTTTAATTGCATTCTGTTAAGTATTTAAAGTAATTCAGTTCAATCAATAGCAGGTAATATCTCACTTAAAAGTAATATCATAAATGAAAATAATTTTCAACGAAAAGCAGTCACTAAAAGCATTAACAGAGGCAATCAAACAAATTTGATAAAAAAAAGGATACAGATGATCGTTAACCGTGTAGGTTATAATAGCCTTAATCGAATTTTATAACTTCTTTGAATATTTTTACTGATATTAAGACTAGAACTTTATTCAAAGCAAATCGCGGTATTAGTTTTTAGACTGCTGAGGTTTGACTGGGAAATTAATGTGGTATTTTGCACAAGGAAAGGCTCCAAAATATTCTTTCATTATACCCTTGATTTTTGACATTTATTTAACATGCATTTTTTGCTACTAGCGTCATATTCACAAGAGCCTCAAGTCATCTCGCAACATTGGAAATACAAAAATGTGGCAAAACTCTTATGGAAATTATACCTCGCGATGAAATAAGTCTTTAGCTGCTTTGCGAAATGCTTTCATTCTTGCATAGTATATCAACGGGTTTACAAGACTATTTGCAAATATGAAACACTCTGCCCAAGGGTCAACAAACTCTTTCACATCCTTGTAGAAATCTGCTGATACCAAAATGTTGTTCACGACTGTTGGAGCATATGAAACACAGAAAGCAATTACAACGACTAACATCACATATGCCTTGTCTTTATTTTCTTTTCTTTGCTTTTGCTGTCTCTCAGTAATGTTAGGTGCTCTCTCAATCTGAGCTATTTGTTTGCTTTGCCTTCTAATTACACTAAAAACTTTCCAGTTGCAGTAAATAACGGGCAGCAAAACCAACATGATACTTGTATTTGGAACATTAACACTAAAATGGACAACAACTATTGGAATAGTGGCAAACAAAACCAAAACAGAGGCAATAATGTGCGTTTTGCATGTAGCATGTTCATGGAACCAAAATGGGTGGACGACAGCAATGTATCTGTCTATGCTAATGCAAGTCATATATAGAAGAGAGGACACCACTAAAAACGCCATTACATATCGTTTGTATTTGTTTGTTGGGCTCTTGTCAATGCTGTTGAGTCTTCTCCCATAATCTTCTAGCCATAGAGGGTGTCCACAAATGCCAACAAGGAAATCGCACATGCTCATAGCACCAAAAATCATATGTGAAGGTGTGTGCAAGGAAGGTGTTTTTAACAAAGTTACAATGAATGTTCCATTGAAGATCGAGGTCAGGAGGGCAACAATCGAGTCGATGGTCAAGAATATGATTATGTTTATATCATACCAATTCGCAGACATATTCTTCTAACACCAAAGCAGCAATCAAATTATATCCACGCAATGTAGTACAATACCAAGGTCCGGCAATATAATAAGTCCATACCCAGTAAGCAGGGACATGACAATGTCCTGTTTCAGAAAGATTTGCCACAGTAATCTCAAGCAAAGATTGAATTTAAAACTTCGCAGCTTTAGAAGAAAATTACACTGATGGCAATGGCCTTGGTCTTTTGCCTACCTCTGTGCAAGGCTTTCAGCTAAAAGTAAACAATTTGGTCTTCTTGCTTCCTGCGTGCAATGCTTTCTGCTTAAAGTAAACAATTTGCTTATCTAAAAGATCCATGTTTTCCAAAATACATGCCTTTCTTGCCATTAGATGACAAGCAAATACAGATGCATTTGCTTTGTCAAGAACATAATGAGATTAAAGGTAAATAGTCGCTTATGTGATCATTACTGTAAAACAAAATTAACATTCCCTTTGAAAATCGAAACAAACTGAATAGTCAAAGAAAAACGTCAGAAAAATACATCTGCTTTTCACAGAAGCAGGAGCCAAAAGAGAATTTTAGCTTCTGATGAGCAATAGTTTTGAAGTGACAGCTTTTCGAAAGGTCGTGACACGCGACTAGCAGCAGACGCGGTGAATTTCAACCAATGTCATTTTTGCAGGTTAATAATCGTTTCCTGATGCGTGCATGACTGATACAATGGCAACAATTTGCCTTTCTTTCTCAAAGACCGTTTGCTACAAAGGTTTTTGTCGATACTTGTTGCATATAATTAATGCTGCAAAGATCAATGACATAGAAAGTAGCTCCTGCTTCTAGATTGGCTAAATTATTATGACGTAGGGTCTGTCGTAGGTAATTGCAGATTCAATGACAATAAAGTCATCAACGTAACAAATGTCTGTGCAGCTTATAGCAAATGACAAGGATGAAAACATATCTAAATACCGAAAATTAGTCTAGAAAGACGCGGATAACTTTGCAACAAAGGAAGCAACACAGATTCTGAGAACAAACTTTATAGCAATGCTTTAGAAAACTGTGCTTCTTTTCTAATATAACTCTAGCAGGTAATGTCAAACTATTTGAGAAATCCAACTGCTAGAAACCTTTAGATTCAAATTTATAACAATTCGTTGACATTTTATGAGTAATTTAGTAGCTCGTGAATAATTTAGGAAAAAGTTAATTTAGTTTAGATTGATAATTGAGAAATGTTTCCTAAAATTGTACCAGCAAACTGTTTGGGGAAGAAACAACGGATAAATTGAGAGGATAACCAATTTCTTATTTTAGGACGCTTTCGATTATGGCCTAAAGTGAATCGTAGATTCTTTTTTATTCTCAAAGAATTTTCCTTATGTCAGCTGATTCGAACGTAATGGAATTTTCCGGAGGAACAAACATTATTTGGACTCACATAAATACTGTCTTTTCTACAAAATAATTAACACCAAAAGAGAGACACGTTGGTGAAGACGATTCACATTTCTTCACAACTAAGGACAAGGTGATTCTAGAACCTTCTAATTTTTATTGAAACAGCTTCAAAATATAGCAAGAGACGACACTCAATAAGCCAAGATTTAGTGGCAACGAAAAGGTGGGACTGTCTACATCGGGTTGGAGAAATGATTTGAAAAAATGAAAAGCTGCTGTGCTTTTATCAGTGAAAGAGCTGTTGCACCAAAACTTACATGGTTGTTTACAATTTCTATTAAAGCTTCCTTTTGAAGAGGCTCAGTGGGTCCTTTTTCTTTATCTTTCTTTCAAGCAGCTCTGCAATTACATTTGTCATGTTGAAATGGGCTTGTTGGCATCTGTATAATAAAAAGTAGAAAGGCTAGCCCGAGAGAAAAGTCCTTGATTTAGATATTAGGGGTAGAAATCTCTTTGTTCAATATTGTTTTTCTACATCAATTTTTCTGTAGCGACTGCAACTTCATCAAAAAGACCAACCACTTTAAAATCAAACAGTTATTATCAAAGATTGCCAAATTATAGGGTAAGAATTATGCTTGATTAAAGATTTGAATTTGAATGTTGACGAGTATAACTCAGAGTGCTAAGCAAGCAGTATTTAGAGTGTGAAGAAAATGCTGATACCAATGCCAGCATTGCCTCTATTCTTTTAGGAACTTGCTCTGATCATATGATATCTATTTGTCATAGTAATCGTATTTCATCTATAAACGGGATTGATAATTGAATTTAATTCAATTCAAATACACTTCTTTCACCATTTACCTGTATGAGTACATGTCGAGATGATCAAGTGAGTCTATGTACGTTTCCAGCCAAGTCAAATTACAGGCAACATCTGTCATTATGACGTAATCATCATGACTAAGGGTACGTCTGAAATGCTGAGTCATTTCTGCAAAGTTTGCATACTTGCTGTTTTTCTAGAATAAAATATAGGCAAAATTGAAAGCATGATGAATAGCAGCCTCATTACTGATCACTCTTAAGTTTTATTTTTCAACTAGAATTTCATGTAATGGAAAGTGGATAGCCATAAACTGAATTATCAACCTACTATTCATCAGGCTTTCGTACAACATAATTCCTCGGTGCAATTCTTTCGATATATGATGTTTTAGAGCGACCTGATATTACATGAATAAAATTTTAGGGCTATCTATCAATTATTTCTTCCCATCGTACAGCATTTGCATACTGCTATCAAGATAAATTTATTTAGGTTATTGCATAATTACTTCAACATAAAAAATGTTTTAATACTTTTCTACTGAAAACATCTGCTTCTCAACCTGCAACCTAATTGCCCTGATTATTTTATAAGCATGATTGATCAATTTACAGCTTTGTGAGCTTTCAGAAACATTCTTTACCTTTTTAAATTGCGCTGATCTGTATTATAAATCCGCATTCATACATACCTGTTTTTCTAACATGTGCTTTACATCTTCTCTTTGACGCTTGTAAAGGTAATCTTTTTTCAGCTGAAACAATTAGAATTTAATACCAAGTGATAGAGACTGGCTTTAAGATTCTAAGATTTTCAAAAGCAGATTTCGATATATTTATGGCATCAAAATAAAAAATATTTATTTAACTGCACAATTGCCTTCAAGTTGACAGTTATTTGGATTGCTTTGAAATGTTTAAAGTTTTGGGAACATTTTCTAAATTTTGCTTCTAGTATTTAGATCAGGGGCGTACCTAGTGGAGAGAGGGTAGGGGGTGTGACACTCCCTAGTGATTTATGAATTGGTCAGTAAATTTTCAGCTTGCCCATAATATCCTTGGTTGGTCGGTTAGTGAAATAAAACCTTATTTATTCTACATCTATGTCTTTGTCGATAAATTTCACTCTTGATGACCCTCCACCCTACTGGTCTGAAAAGTCAAGCTAAACCACTGAGCTAGAAGAACTAGATAAATATTTTAGATTCAAAATTTTTGTTTGATGTGTCGATTATAAAGATTTTTAGTTGCTACTCAAGGTTTTAACGCTTAAGGTTTGTACAGCTTTGTCTACAGTAAATCAAGCACTCTGCAAAAGAAATATTGCAGTAAATATTCCTTAATTCATAAAACATCATTTTCAATTCAAAATCAAATGAACATTGCAAAAACGGATAACACTAATGATTTACAAGTAAGATTTTCAAATCGAAACAATGGCCTAAAAGTCATAGCCCTGAAGTACCCCTAGAAGCGTCTCCTTGACTTCTCATCAATTGTGGTTTGGTAACATTTGGTTAATCTCCACTTGCAACTTGTTGACACGCGCTTGCAAAATATACTTTTCCTACCTGCAAAATTGCTTCTTTTTCCTGCTTTCGTGTTGCATTATACCTCTCTGTGGATTCATGAATATTCTAAAATAGATCTCGCGTTTAAACAATAAAGGGCTACTAAAAATTAGGAAGTTGAGCAAAATTAAAATTATTGTTGATCTAATGATAAAAGTGAAATCATTTTTAAACTTTAATATCTTACTAGATAAAATCTGCAATTTGTAAAATTGAAAATATCTGTAGCAGTGTGAATACGTCAAAAAACTAGTAAAAGCAGCAAAAAATGCTTAAAGGAACAAAAATTTTAGTTTCGGGTTGAAGTGATAAGAATTTGTTTAGTTCAGATTGTATTGGAAAGTCTATATGAAAAGCAAAGAAACACTTGCATACGATGCAGGGCATACTGAAATCTAGCATTGAATTCAATGAAGAAAGGCGCACCGATAATCTTTTTTACTATTCGATCATGTTTTTTACTTCAAATATTTTTAAATATGCCAGAAAGTAGCTTACAAACTGCAGGAAATATAACGAGGTGAGATTGCAAAAGAGGCCAATATATAAACATCGTCACCATTATGATTATTCCAATGAATAAATTTGTGAAAATGAAGTGACCCAAGAAGATAAAGATGACAGTGAACCATTGGCTGTACGAAAACTTTGCATCAAGTCGCTTCTGAATTTGTGTCCAACCATCGGCCTAAAGAATAAATGCAGTTAAATCTTGTTAAATCGGACCTTCAAGAAAAAAGGAATCAATCTGACTAAGCGAATATCCGACTCATCCGGGGTACGAATTTTGACTTGAATAAAGCAAGATAATCCAGTGGGCAGGGCCGTCGCTATCCATTGTGTTAAAAGGGGTGCTTAGATCCCATCTTCCCACAAAGTTGGTGAGCTATCAGGTCTATATCTGCCGACAAGTCTGAAAATTTGCCGACGAAGCACCCTTGAGTGGCAAAAAAACACTTCGATTTTGAAATAAATTCTTTTTCGGGTAGTGTCAGCCTCCCACGACCAACCGCAGCGACGGCCCTGCCAGTGGGAATCGAAAATTAGTCCGACTTAAAGAAAGTTCGAGTTGCACTGTGTTCGACATAACGGGATTCAAGTGAGCTAGCTACGATTATACGTTGCCTTTTAAATAGATAGCCAGATTAAAGGTTAGAAAACAAGGAATGAACAAATTTTAAAGAGTAGGAATCTTGAGAAAAACTTATCAAAGGAACTGCATGCATGCATTAGATGTTGCCAATTTGACGTTAAAGCATCTTTGTACTTGGTTTCGGATAACAAAATTTATCTCCTAATTGCAATTTTAATTTCCCTACGCAACAAAATGCTTTGTCAATCGTATTGGAATACAAATCATCAAAGTAATTTAGAACATAATGAGATCCAATAACCCTAACCTTACATTAGTTTTATTATCTCATTAATACACTTTCTTATAATAATATGTACCCTGGGAACCAGAACTACATATATCCAAGTGTGGAACTAGAAGAGAGGAGCGGAGAAGCTGAGGAGCGGAAAAGCGGAGGAGCGTCTAGCTCAGCTAGTCTAAGAACTTCACAAAATGTCATCTTACCGTCACAAATGTGAACAAAGTAAGCATGGCATCACTTAGGCTTCCCCACCTCTCCTTGTCACCAGTCTCGTCATAGCCAAATATATAATAACCAACAACGCCGAAGAATATCATAAGCAAAACCAGTAATACAACAACATTGACGACTGATTTGCGGATTGTGACTATCAATGCGTTTACAAGCACTTGCAACCCCTCAACGAAGGAGATTGTCCGCAGCGTTCTTGCGACTAAAAGAAAAGGCATTACTATTCAGTATACAAAACCTTACAACTCAAGATTATATTCAAAAATGAAATCTAGATAATATGTATTGTTTGCTTATAAGAAAGGTGAAGAAAGGTAAAATATGGAATACACATTGTCATGAAATAGTAGAACAATTACTACAAAATGTATGTAATATTCGCTTGGATACATTCCAGCTACCTGCATAATCATTAAGGAAAGTTAGAAACAGTTCTGTCCTTTACATCTTATTATGTAGAATAAGATCTTTTTGCTAAAGTTATTTACTGAAGGAGAATTGACAGGGGCACTATTATCCAAAAGCAACTCAAATAATGGCGAGCTGATAATTTGATGTATTATGTGCTGCTTGCTTCCAATTTCTTACAAACCTCGCAAAATTACTTCCTAAATAAATCGAGAAAAATCATTCCTAAGATACCTGCTAATAAAAATTCTTGCATCTATCTCTAATCTTATTCCTACTTCTATCCTTCAGTCCACCCTTTTAAAAGTAAATACTGTATTTACTCTAATATTCCCGCTGCGGGATTAGCGTTTCAACCCAACAAAAAAAGCGGGATTATTAGAGAGGCGGGTATATTGGAGAGGCGGGATTATTTTTTCAATGCCTTGAAGTCTAGTTTGAGGATACCGTTTCAACAAAAAAGTCTCTTAAAAAAATATGCAATTTCAACATGTATGGGAAGATTAAAATTAAATGGGGGGTGGGATATGTATTTTCACAGACAAGACAAAGCAGATATTGTGCTTTATAGACAGTAGTACGAAGTCAAAGAATCAAACGTCTTTTTATGCTGCGAGACTTGGATGTTTAATAAACTTGCAAAATAAGACAGCTCTTTGCCCTCTCCCGTCTATGACATTATCGTGTGATCTAACCCATTTACTCCAAGCATAAGTTTCAATCATTGATTTTCAACCCATACAAAGTGTGTAAAGAATAGCAAATGCAAATTAAAAGTTTCAATCCCGCATGCAGGATAACTGGGGAGGGGGATTATTCTTACAATCTATGAATTGCAAGCGGGATTACTAGAGAGGCGGGAATAAAAGAGAAGCGGGAATATTAGAGTAAAAAAGGTATGAAGCTTAGAGGATTTTCATCAATTTCTGGAGCATAAAGATCACTCGCTTTAAACATTTCTGTTGGTTTCTTTTACTTTGGGACAAGGTTCCCTCGTATGGGCCAATTCAACAATTTTGTGAACATTTGTTACGAGTATTTGTAAAGCTCGATAAAGCTTAGAAATTTCATTCTATAAGCCTGAGAAATACCTAATGTGCGAAAAATGTTACAGTTATGTCAGATTGTGCTTGGTTTTAGGGCGGATTTTCCAGCTATTACCAAATATTAAGATCATAGCCTAACACTGTGATAAACAGCCAAAAATCTTTTAAGCAGCTTTCTCTTCTCATTTTGAATAAAATAATTTCAATCTTTGCTATCCTTGATGATAAAAACATCTTTTACCTCGAAGAAGCCGAAGTATTTTCAATGAGCCTTCATCAACTTCCAACACTCTCAAATTGTCAAGGAGTACTTGGACATACGAAAGAGCCAGCACAGCGAAATCGAATATGTTGTAACTACTCTTCCAGTAGTTTTTTGGTTCCGCGTAGACTTTAAGGGCGAATTCGATCGTATAAATCACAAGGAATATTGTGTTTAGAGTGAAGAATGCATCTGCGTTGTTCTTCTTAAGATTCTCAATGGTTTCTAGGCCAACAACTAGTGAATTGATCAGAATAACCAGCATCACAAATGCATTGAATATTGGCATCTGAAATGTCAAAAATACACTGCGCTTAAAGTGAAGTTTGTTATTCATGCTAGATTATCATCATATAATATTATCTAAAGGAATTAGAACTGGTATAAGATTATGGTACATGCATATGGAAGGCAACCTAAAGATCAGATACATAGACCAGAATGCTCAAAGAAAATTTGGTGCCACCTTCTCCCAAAACCGTTCAAAATTCTTTCGTAATGTCTGTGCTGACTTACGCTAATTTAAACCTTTACTTATGAAATAACTGAAACAAAGCACACAGTAAGATTAAAGACAAAAATGGAAACCAGGGATAAGCTACCATTTCAGTCCGTTGATTCAAAAAAGTTAGTTTCAGATAAACTAATAGTCGCATAAACAAATGGCGGATAAAAGCAATTAAATCATAAACGTCGAAAATTTAGAAATCTCAATCATTGAAAAATGTGGGTTTGAAAAACGTTTTAATTTTGGTTTGTTTTTAATTTAGCATTGTTTTGAGTTCTAGAAAGGCAAAGTAAAATGTCGAATTTTTCCACGTTTTCCAACCGTTTTATGTTTTCCACATTTTCCGCATTTTCTGCCAGGCTAATTAAGCAAGGAGTAGCTGATTGAAGAATTGAGGGTCAAGGAAAAGTGGGGGGGGGGGCTAAAACCGAATAAAAAGTCATCGTCATCATCATCATCATCATCATCATATCTGTCAGCAGGGACGGATTTAGCGGTGGGTTAAGAGGGTGTGATATCCCTCCAATATTTCTGTGCTCTTAGTTAAACTTTGCTGTCATTCGGTAAAAATCATTTTTTGGTAGTCAGTAGTAACAGAATAACGCCAAGATTTTACATTATTTATCTTCTTATTTTCTTTACCGTAAAGTTAAAAATCAAATTTTGAAAATGAGCGCTTCCGTCATTTTACATCAATCTGAAGGGTGTGATGGCACCAAGATTCTATTAGTATCTAACATCCCCCCAATGATTGTTGCTTAAATCCGTCCCTGTCTGTCGCGTTAAAATGAGAGATGAGGCTAGTCGCGTTAAAATACCAAATGGTCTACCGTCGTTATTTGGCGAACATGGCGGTGAATTGTGAAATCCCATCTTTTCTTCTTCTTATCAATCAATGCTCTGCGAGGGAAAATTTTCAATTTGATTAATAAGAGATCTTAACATGAAGTCATAGTTTGTAGAAAAATGTAATTAAGCAGCTTGAAACCTCGTTGTAATAAGCTCGTCGAAAACCGTCCCCGGTAAGAGGGAGCCCGTTTTACAAGAAATTGAATGACTCTTACCTTTGCTTTTTGCAAACCGATATTATTTTGTCCCAGTCAGTCTCAAGTCCTTCTTTTAAACTTTTAAAGTCTCTTTGAGACCAATTCTCGATCAAATTTAATGCCCTAGCTTTAGCTACATTTTCCTGCAGTCCTCTGTAACTTGCTGATAAGAGAGATATCTTCTGCCACCAGAAGTATTGTTAATGATCAGAATGTATTTCGAAATATTTATTTATTATCAATCTAATCAATTCTTAGGAATCAATCTTAGTGTCAGTCAAAATACCTGTGGGGTACCTGTGGTGTAGTGGAAAACACTGTTTCCTCTCGCCACTCTAGGCAGATGCTTACCTGGTTCCAGCCCACTGCACAGAGCCCTCAACAGAAAGGGCAATAAACGGAAAACAGGTTAGGGGCCAGAAAGCTCAGGTACCTGGAAACCAGAAGAAAAACCCAGAGTCTTGTTTGATTCAAGTATGTTGCTCATCACTCAGGGTACACTAAGGAAGGATAGAATTAGTGCAGGCAATGTTGTTTGAAAATAATGGGAACATACGGGTTTATTAATTGGAAACAAATGATTATGATAGCCCTCGGAAAACATATACAAATTTAAACGAAAATTTGATTTCGAAAAAAATGTACGATGTGGAAGTATATATACAAAGTCATATAATAGTAATTTTAATGGCAAAACCTGCTACATTATCAAAGTAAAGGATCTCCGTACCTATTTAGATCAAACGTGTCTGCTCCCAACTGCATAATGCGATATTCTAAAGTCTAGTATTAGCTTGGCTTCTTGGCTTGCATTTGAGAAAGAAAACATCAACTCCTCCAACTGAAGTTGCCATAGTTTGCTGACGCAAGCATAAATCACAGGGAAACTCGAGGTTGAAAAAAGTGGCCTAACGATAAAGTTAAACATAACCCGAGTTGGATTAGGAGAGGACCAAGTAAGTAAATCAATCATTTGCTCAGGAAGACATAAGATATAGAATGAGTTACCATAAGATGAGGTAAAAAATGACCATATATTTTAAGCCATCGGACATCATGATATCAAACGGGCTGTTTTCTAGTTATCAACATCTTGTAAGCATGGAAGGTTTACTGCGCTTGACAATATTACTCCGCGATGATGATTGCATTTGTTAGCAATGCTATAGGATTTCACCAGAGCTGTGGCATTAGCAAATGGGACTGTTTGTCAATTTGTGCTGGGTAATCTCTCTGTCATTGATTGTTTTCAAGTTAACACTTGTTAGCTACTTCATTTCAATCTCGCATGAGAAAGTGTGATACTTTGCACATTGGTAGAAATACACAACATTTTGTAACGAGAGGTCCTTAGTGCCAGTATGCAGAGTTTTTCCAATGCACATGCGATGATGTTTTTTCTGAAAAATGAGGCTGCAGACTTGTGACAGGGACTGGCACCATGGAATTTTGATTTTATATGGGTGGGTCCTGAAAAAATTGGCATTGCTAGCTTTTATTTATGCATTGTTGTACTTAATACATGTATTTTTCAACATCAAAAATACAATAAACTAAAAAAACAGAAAAAGTTGATCAAGTGATACAACTCTTCCACCCTTTCATACGTAATCTGTAAATATATCTAAAATAGCAACATCTAGCAACAAATCTAAAATATTTTTTTTAAATGCAGTTCGAATTAGTCTTTGCCTGTCTTTAATGGTATTTTGCAAATATCCTCTTAGGCAAGCTATCTTTGAACTGTTTTTTGACCTCGTTTGAAAATGTAACCTTTTGTTCTAATTTTAGTCTGCTTTTTCGTAGGTGTTGTGTCTAAGCCGTTGTGTTTAGGTCTGTTGGCATGTGTCATTGTTTACTGATTAGAATCAGCCTTAGAAATTCATTGTTAAGAACTGCTATAATCAGAGGACTAAGCACATCTTCATCAGTAGATCACAAGATACAATGTTTCTTCGAAAATGGAGCTAAAGATTCTCTTGAAAAACAATGTAAAATGTTACTAAGTGATCCTACGCTGCAGAGAATTCAAAGATCTGCCCGTGTTACCAAAAAATGTGCTGGTGCTCTTGTCCCTATATGTATTGTTGAAGGAAGACCATCGCTGCTTTTTACAGTCCGATCGCATCATCTGCCAAACCACAGAGGTGAAATAAGGTCAGTGGCATATCCTTATATGCTTTAAGATCAGGTAAAATTTAGAGCCTGGATACTAGTGTACTTGCTTGACCAGATCTAGAGTACAGTCTTTAGATGTAGGTTTTAGTTCATGATCATAACCTGATCTTGCTTCATTAATTTCCTAGTCAAAAATTTGATGGTTTGTGAGTTTTAAAGCCATATCATAAATAATGACTTACAAGCAGAACAACTGAAACACCACCTCAAAGCCAGCCAGCTTTCTAAAAAAATCAGACTTGAAATGAAGTTTGCTTAAAATATTGTTTCTTTAAACAGACATGGTTCCTCTGATGCATTTTTAACTTATGTGTTATGAAGAAGATATTAAAAACTATTGATGGTTGAATGATTACAGTATCTTTGATCAATTGTTTGCCTTAAGTTTTCCAGGAGGGATGAAGAATGACCAAGATCTTTCAATTGAAGCTGCTGCCTTAAGGGAAGCTGAGGAGGAGTTAGCTTTGGACAGAAATTCCATTAGAATTCTTTCATCACTAGGACCATTTTTAAACCGGGTAAGGTCCTTGCTTTTATTAAAATTTGTTTGATTTTATTTCTGATGACATATTACGAGAAACTATATTATTTTCAGCTACCCAAAAAGCATTCAAACTAGTTTGAATTTTGATCATAATTTCAATTCGTGTTTTTTAGAAGGCTACAATTAATATAACTGCAGTGTTTGGGTATGTTGGTGACATTGATGTTTCTAAGCTGAAATTTAGTGACAATGAGGTATGTGATATTTGCTTTAATTGTGCACATTTAAAACAGCACATTTCCTTACCTTCTTTAGCAGAATTGTGTCAATTTAGAACATTTAAAAAATAATGACTAGACAAAATCAGTTAGTATAAGTCAAAAATTCGTTTGAATTTAATATCATTGGTATTTTGAATCTAGAAATACAAATTTTTAATGGGAACCAAGAACAGGAAGTTATGCCATAATGCATATGTCTACTGAATTATAAAAGTTGAACTGTTTTTTATAAAAGTTGAACTGTTAACTATGATATATGAACCACTGTTAACTACCACTCTCCTAGTGCATAAGAATGTTGTGTTTTTCATTGTTTCAGGTTACTGAAGCTTTTACTGTTCCTATAGCTGACTTGTTGTTGGATGGTAATAACAGATACACAATTTTTAGGAATGGATGGAAGCTTCCAGTATTTTTGGCAAAACAGTATCATATATGGGGAATTACTGCAAGCATTACTGATACCCTTCTCTCGATGATTACTCATATCGATTATGAACGTAAATTCACCTTTCTTCGAAATAATATACAAAACTCTTTTTGCAAAGTCAAATCAAGCTGATGTTAAGCAAAAAGCAACAGGTTATGTTTTTAGGACAAGTAAAAAGTGTGAATAAATAATTTCTATTCTTAAAACTCTATTTTTGGTTGAAAATTATATTCTTATAAATTTATGCAAAATGACTGGGGTGGTGCTTATATAATGATTAGATGGAATGTTCTGCTCAACCGAAAGTGATTTTGCATGAAAAGCCTTGGAATGGTCTAAGCCAAATTAGAATAACTTTTTTAATCTGTTAATAGCAGTGACAATAAACACTTAGTTAAGAATAGGTATTCTATGATGTATCATAAGCAACAAAATCAAGCTTTACTTTTTTCAGCTCTATATACTCAGTACAAAATTTTCAACACATTTTTTTAAGAATTTTAATCACAGTGATTTTTGGGTCTGGGCATCTGCATTTTTAGGAATGTGTTTTGAAAACATTTTTGCACCTACCCTGGTTGTTACATAGGAAAAGTGCCACACACTCTCCCCTTAGAATTTTTTCACATTGATGTTTTCTTATTTCTTTCCTTCTTTAGTATGAAGTCAGTATGACAATCAGGGGCGTACCTACCGGGGGGTGGTACACCCTTGGGTTTCTGGCTGATGAGTTGCTTTTTTATTATGTTCTGCCCATTTACAAGCTAATTGCTCAAAACATACAAGGGGCATTTGGAATTATTGCTCAAGGCAAAAAACGTGGGAAAAATCTGAGAAATTTGTATTGGGCCAATGATGGTGCAAATTAGTCAGGTTGTGGTTTCAAAAGATGGACGCCTAGAAAGCCATGACGTTTTAAGCAATGGGATTTGAAGAACTTGTAACTTTTCAAACCTAAAATTTGGAAAATCGTATTTCCTTGTTATCACAAAATATGCGTCTCAAAATTATTTTTTCATGATATAAAAGATACTCTGCTAGCAATATTTGCTTATCGAAATTCGTCAAATCGTTACCTCTTTAACTGAGAATTGCTGCTACCGTCCACGAAGATATCATGACCTCGACCAAGGGGTTTGAGTTTTAATGATCAGAAAAGGATAAGGATCGCATTGTTTACAAATGGACTTTATCCATTGTTACAGAAAACTAAAAGGTTTTATAATCAAAGATGCAACCACGCCTGTACTAATTTTTCTCTTTGCAAAAGAGATATGTTATCGGCTTATCTACACTACAAAAATTTAAAATTATTCGCCAAAAATACTCCTACAGTTCCTGATTTATTGGAGTGAAATTTGAATCAATTCCTACATCAAACTCACATCTAATAGCTGCTCAAACGGGATTAAATTAAAAATATTTTTCAATCAATGATAAAAGATTACGCTTACTAAGAAATAACTATTTTCCCCAACTGGACATTAAAATCACAGCAATAATATCCAAGTCTATTGTAAGGCCGACGAAATACTACAAACTAAATAAACTGGGATCAATACTGAACTATTAAGTTAAATACATTTTACAAATTTGAAAAAAATCATCTCGGGAGCATGTCTCTGGCAAAGTTTCTTGTTTGTTCTTGGTATAAAGTTTAAGCTGAACAGAAGGGGTGTTAAAGTATTTGGGGTACTTAATAGAAATATTGAGGGGTTTTTTTAGATGGTCCAAGGCATTCTTCAGAATTACCTGTTTCTTCAATGTCGTTGCTGAAAGAAGAATTTAAATGGCATCAGCATGGTACAACACCATTGAAAGTAATTTGCCTTCTAAAAAAATCTCGCTCAAAAAATTACCTCTCACACTTTGAGGCCCGTGATTATAGGTCCGGAACAGAAATATCGCTGATTATATGTCCGACACAGAATTATCCCTGATTATATGTCCGGAACAGAAAAAATTCGAAGGAATGTCGCTGATCTTTTTACGGTCCTGCTCAACAATGCCTTCAGTTAAAAGCTTCGCACAAGAATACCCCTGATTATAGGCCCAGCAATATTCAAGCAAAATGAAAAACAAATTTGAGAAATATATCCCTAAAACAAACGTATCCCTCAGCATGTGGTCACTGATACGAAACCCTACTTGAGTTTAGGGTTAGGGTACGGATCAGCGTCCGTGTCGATGATATAGGCCCAGCACAGAAATATCCCTCGCGATAAACCCGGCATAGGAATATCAGTGATCATAGGTCCGGTGCAGGAATATCCCGAACGAAGGGTTTGCTATGAGAAGATCCGGATCACTTCAGGTCATGTACCGCGCAACCATTTGACTAGCAGGGGCTAAAGTAAAGCTCCCCCTACTTTTTGTATAAATAGGTAAGAACGTTTTTGGAAGTTTACTCTAATCCAATTTTAGAAAGTCTAATCCACTGGATCCTAAGGAATAGCAGTTTTTCTTGACTTGGAACCCTTTCTTGCTCATTGTTGATTTTATATTGTTTAATGATATGTTGCATTTTCTAACTTGGTTAGCTTGGTGTTAAATTATCCTCAAGCAATTATATCAACTTTGATAGTAATCGAAGGCTTTTCTGAATCGGGCAGCTTAAAAATAAAAATAATCGGGCACGCCCTTTTCAGCCCCCTTCCCCATTTTTAGACTAGCACGCGGAGCCTGCATTCGGTATCTACTTGCTGCGTGGTTCCGGATGTGGTCTATACTAAAGACCTGTGGCTGTGCCGCAATGATCGGAATACTAAATATTTTATTCTAGAAATATTAACTTTTGTAAAATTCACTGAGCCCTATATACATGTCGCATTTTGTTTCATCTTTCATCTTACGAGCCTTTTACATAAATCGATTTTTGATCCCGAGTCTCTTTTTCATAAAATGAAGCATCATTTCTGGTGGGAGTCATATGGGTTTAAGAAACAAGGAAATTTGAAGAAAAATTGTTAAATTTTGCTTAAATGACCTGAACGGCGAATTTCAACTTAAAATTGCGCGGGACGGTGGATTTTAGCCCCCCTTAATGACCGCAACTTTCCCGAAGTTGAAACAGTTACTAGTTAGTAGAACCCGTCCCCCTTCCATTCCAAATTGTTGGTCTCATATCGAATGAAATGTGTCATTAATCTTCCATTTGAACTATTATATTTTACTCTTCTCTACTTTTATGCTAAATTCCCAGGTTATAAACAAATGCCTTCAAACGCAGCTTTCTAATGGTTCGCCTCTCCTCCCTTCACCCTTACTTTTACTTGTTATAAAACCTCTCATGTTACTTGAATTTTGATATACAAAACATTTGCAGCAGAGATGTTACCTCGGATGCTACTGGAACAAGAAAATTGAATACTTTGTGACACAAAAGCTTCTAACAAACAGCAATGGTTTTACTTACGAACGTCTTCTGGCCATTGAAACCCGTGGCCGGCCGAGCCTGTATAAGAAAGGAGATTAATTACTGTGATACGAGAAAAAAGGTATAGGAAGTAGAATGGAAAAACTTTAGGTAAATTGAAATTAACATGTCGTGATGTCGAAGCCTTAACAAAATTAAGTGAAATTAAAGTTCTCCACACAAAATGGCATGCTATCTTGGAAAGAACCAGCTACTAAATTTTAGTATATGATAATTCAATTGAAACAGTGCTTAATTTGCTTCACTTGTGTTTTCATTTGTGTTTTCATTTGTAGTTTACAATCAAATAGCATGCAAAACCGTAAATCGAAAGAAACGCCATTCTTTTTAATCTCACACCTGTAATCTTCCAAATTCAATAGATGCTGAAGCAAAGTTGTGCTTGGAAAACAGTAAAAATTGTCTGAGAAACAGTGGCGTAACGCACGGTGTGCACCTTTAAGCACAAAACTAAGGGCCCCCAAGCATTTTGGGCCCCGAAGGGGTCTCCAAGAAGTTTATCAGAAAACGGGTTTTTAATGAAAGCGTATGTTTCTTAATAGCATTAACAGCATCATTGAAATTGGCGAAAGACTGGATACGGTTTGTGAACGTGAGCAACCAGTATAAAAATGATGCAAGATAAAGCATGTCAATTAGGTTTTGCTCTAAAGCACATCTATATCGGTATAAAATTTTGTATTTAATTTTACGAGAGTATAACATATATTTAAAAGTTAATTGATGTCCTCCATGAAGCAGTTTGAAAATATTAATCTTTCTGAACATGTTTTCAAATGCATGTTCAATCCCCATCTGTATATGCTGCATGGGAATCCAGGAAAGCTTAGATGAAGATCAAAGGAAATGTCTCAGGCAGCAGAATTTCTCTTCATATGTTCTTATATGTTATTTTTTTGGGGTTTTACAGGAGCGAGTACATAGGCTTTAAAACCTGACGCAAATTTAGTTAAGTACATGGGCCTCAAAACACTACTTTCAATAAGGGCCCCACACTGTCCCGTTATGCCACTGCTGAGAAACCATACCTTACACCTGCTCTAAAATGTGGCTCAGTAAGAGTACACGTGAAACTCTTTTCAAAATTTGGGCGTATATTCCAAAACTTGAACTTCAGCAAGAAATCTCTGTCATAAGTCTTCCGAGCTAGAATTAAAACAAAGTCACACATACAATCCAGCATTAAATTGGTGTACATTTATTGAAGTTAACAGCTAGTTTAATAACTATTTCCCGTTTGCAAGTAAGTATCTTGCAACTTCACAGGCACTCTCCAATTACAGATGTTGTTATTATGAGGTATGGCTATATCAAAAGGCAGGACCAGGGAAGCTTCATAAGCATACACCCTATCAATATCAATAAGACAGCAAAGATGCAACCAATTTTGTCTCAAATCTATACCTCTGTTCTAGTACACAAGAAAATAAAATCAACAAATGAAAGATCTAGTTGTTGTTTGATACTGGCAATATGTAATATATAAACCAACAAAGACCTAATAAGGAAAATTGAAGAAATTGTATGTCAATGCAGCATTGTTTAAATTGAGCAACCATTATTGACTTTTGGCTGTGCTATAAAAACTTTTATATCCTAGTATAATATCAAGTAAGTTGGTTATGCTCTTAGTAGTTAGGCTAAATAAAACCACAACTTCACTTTTAAAACAACATAAAACTGCAGATTACCTTTAAATCCAACATCTGACTTTATACTATTGCTTGCTTCATTTGAAACTTGAGCACATTCATGGTTGAAATTATATTCACCATTCATATATGCATCATACTTGAAATATTTCGTAGGAACAAACTTCCCAGTCTGGTAAGGCTCTAAGCTCATATTTTCAAACAAACCTATAACCTTATTGAACATTGTTTTTTCATCGATTTTTAATACCATTCCTTGATTGTATCTCTTGAAATCTTTGCTCCTGGCCAGATATGCCTTGACTTGTTCCATTGCCTCCTCGAGTTTCAATATCTCTGAATGAAACACTCTCAGATAGTCAGTAATAGCAATACAATTACTGTTTCTTAGATCTTGCTCTAGACCTTGAGGATCAAATGAAAAAGAAGCACTGGTTGATATCTGAAGAAAACTTGCTCTAGTTGTTTGGACTATACTTCTATAATATTTTTCAGCTCTATGAAAAATTGCTGAAATAAGTCCTTCTATCTTCCTTTTTTGGGCAAAAAAATCATCAAAGAACTTTTTTTCATTGCTTTCCAAGTTATCTAAAACTCTCTCTACTGTTTCTGCTACATTGTTATGATCCTCTATAATGGTTTTGGCAACTTCCTTAAACTGACCAACATAGTCAGCAGCAAAATCTTTTGCATTATCAATTGGCGTGACTTCATGGTCTTTGTGATCAATTAGGAAGCCGTCCAGGCAAACAGCTTTGTGACATTTAGTACAGAAATACTTAAGATCAAGGAAATGTTTTCTACAATAGTATGTATCCTCTGACCTTGAACCAACAATCACATGTTTAAAGTTGAGACCTGAACTTGTTTTGCAAGTATTGCTTTTTTCAATCTGTGAACAACTTTTGCAATATCTTTGATGACATCTAGAAAATGGAATGTCTTAGTTTAGTCTTGAGTTGTCATCCAAGTAAATCAATAAAAGCATTGGTATATTGAATCATTGCAAATGTTATTTTGAAATGTTAACATAATCACTCGCACAACATTCAGCAAGATGCATTTAGAGATTTTGCTAATTTACTGTACAAAAGGCCAATTTAAGTGGGATATCAAGCTGACATCTTTTTCACCAATACTTTGCTACTTCACTACTTTCTTCAGTGTTTGTTTCTTGAATGTTTCAAATTGGCACTTAATACTCTAACAATAGCAGATATAATGCAAACCTTGTCTAAATTACGTAAAAGGTTATAATTCCCAAAAATTTTTGAGGTATAATTTCAGACATTTAATTTCAGACAGAAAATTTTGGATGAAAATATCTTGATTTTGAAAAAAAATTTGGACAAAATATAAAAGGTTCTATAGAACTGGAGAATTTTCAGATGAACCATTTCCAAACACAGAAGAAAGAGAATAAGAGAATTTAGAGGAAGCCAGGGTGTCAAATGATTGGCTTGCTGGAATAAAAAATTTGAGATAGAGAATGAAAATATACTCCCCCTTTAGGTACAGCTCTTGACAGCAATGTCATTAGCATTTAAAAATACATGAAACAAAAACAATTGTCTTCGTTTGCTGATGTGAAAACCCTCCCCAAAAAGTTTTTGTTTGAAACTATCTTAGCATGAATAAGTAAAAATATGACCCTGATTGTTAAAGTCAATAACATTGTAATCAGAAACTCTTTAGAAACAATGGGTACTGGACTTTCCTAAAACATAAGAAACTGGAGTATTTAACGTTGACCTTTGTTTCCTATAACAAAAAATGAGTTAGTTAACAAAAAATTAAATTAACTTTGATGACTGAAAACAGCACCTTGCATGCATTTTTAAGTGATAGCTAACAAAATCAAATATGTTCACACTTGCTTGTTATTTCTATTTATTTCTTGTCTACCTATATTGATAATGCAATCTTGCATCCTCTTTCTAAATTATCAACATTGCTTGGTCAACAAACCATATTGGAATCTTAGGGGGAATATATTTCTCAAGTTTCTGTATAATTTATTGCCAGTAAAAATTGTTCAGCCAATAAAGTTTCCCGACGGTAACAATTTCTGATGGCAAAATTTCTGGATTGGTTTACTGTCCAAAGTTTTTGGGAATTATTGAGTTCACAAACTGGGTCCTGGCCTGATAAGCTCATGCGGCAACCATTTTTGAACAAATCTAATCAAAATTGCACATTTTGTTGTAATTGTTGGGAATTTATCACAAGCAATGGATTTCACAGTGATATTTTGTTACCCTCTCACAGTGATATTTCGTTTATATTTTGCCAATCTTTCAATAATGTCCCTTTGTTTATCAATTTTTATTTTGCATTTAAAATTATGCATTGTGTCAAAAACAATTTACCCTTTTCTTAATTGATCAAGCCTGCAGAAAAAGCCCACATAAAATAACTTCCCTATTTTGGACTTGGGCTAAAAAGGTTCTCAAAAATTTATGAGCAAAATTTAGGGTGGTGATTCTTATTAAGGTTCTTGAAACCTGCTTCAAGCCAAAGAGCTTTCATGCAGAAGAATGATAGAATATGAAGTGTTTTGATATCCACATGAGTTGATACAAAGTAGTTTATGACTTAATGAGTTGGTATGTTACAGATGCAGTCTTCCATGATTTTTTGAGCTCCTTTTTACTAAGGACGCACGGATACGTCCGAGGAACATTGTTACTGGGTATACTTCCCTGTTTAAAAAATAAGTTTCCACCGCTCACCCGACACAAATAAATTCCGCAGGTTTATGGCAGGAACAAAGTAAGTCATTTCTTTCAGGTATGCCACTACTGTGTGCCTCCAATACGTCAAGGATACCATTAATCATAAAATTTGTTCTCAGACTGCCTATTGACTCGACAGGGCCGTGGTCTTGCTTACAAACAGGGCAGCATATGATTAGGCCGGCCAAATCCGTTCGAAGAACTTTCTCTCGTAACAGATTTTGTCCAGATAAAGCCGCTAAACAATTGCAACAAAAAGAATGCTGACAATCAAGCATCTTTGGCTTAAACAACACTTCCAAGCAAACTGCACACTCAGCAAGCTTTTTGATCGAATCTTCTGGAATCATCTTACTAGCAGCCATTTTCCCCGTTGAGGTTGGTGAATACCTTTTCCTAGAAGTGGTCAAAATCAGTGGGCACGATGCATTCTGGTATACGCGCATTCGCGGCGAAAAATTCGCATCGCACGAAAAAATTCGTCTCGTGTAAATCAGGCTTAACGTTGTCCCTCTAAATCCGAGCCCACCCTTCTTGCCGAATCAATAATGGATTAGTATTTCTATTATCTGTGCTTTAAAAACATGCATTCAACCCCATGCTACGGAGAGTGGGCGGGGAGATTTTTTCAAACGATTGAGAAAACATCACCTTTTCTTGAAAAATCTTAACTATTTTTGTCCCGGTTTGTAGGACAACGAAGAATAATCAATAGAAGTTATGCGATTTATGTGACATAGTTATTCTTAATCTGTGATAGGAATTTTGATTATTGTAAGCTGTTTTCAAGGTAATCAGGGGGCAAAATAACAATTTTTAGGCCATGTTTTATTGGTTACGTAAAAGCAGAGATCGAAAAAGGTAAAATTTAGTCACCGCTGATTTCTCCGGGCGAAGCGAGGCGCAGTACGAGTGTACATAGATTAAACCATAAAAAGCTGTGGGTTTGAGAATAGGGTGCTGAAAGCTAGGGACTGGGACGAAGCCCTGGAAACTTTTGCGAGTTTGATATTGCCAAGAGAGGGCCATTTTAGGGGCAATTTCAAAACCTTTTTCATGCTTTAAACCATCCAAAGAATATGATTTCTTACCTTAAGCACATTTCCCAAAATAAGTGATGAAATCATTTCAAGTCTATTTCGCAAAAAGTGATGCACAAAAGATTTACGAAAAAACTCCAGTGTAGTGAAGTTTTCTCATTGTTTAATCACTATCTGAGTTTTTTGAGGATGTTGATAATTTCGACATAATAAAGTGCGGCCTCTTCGATGAAATTGCGTTCCCGTCTGTTTCTCCGCGTAAATTCCCTGATTACCAGCTTCATAATCATTGAATCACATTAGAAATAATACTTCGTCAAAATATTATCCCTCCCCAAACATTTTCTCGTCCAATTTATCTTTAATTTAGATCAAATATAAAATCGATCCTGCCGAGAGCTGAGGGAGAGGGACGCGTCCGTCCAGTGACAGATTTCGTGGAACAGGAAATACTTTTGTCTTCTGCATGCATTGTTACCTTATTCCTTTGCGAGTCAAAGGTGTTGAAAAATATGATTATTATTATGATGACTCATGTTATATTAAGTGATTGACATTTCGAGCTGTTGTTGCTTTAACTTCCGGACGCTTCACGCTGAGAACATGTTTTGTTGAACTCTAGATTTTGATTACTCGTAATTCGGTTTTAACCTGTTGCTATTGAAAAATATGAAAGTTCTGTTCGGTTTATAGTATGATAGTTTATAATATTTTACCAAAAGGGATCATTGGTATAGATCAAAAAAGGAGTGGGCCAAGGCAGGAGCCCTGATGTACACCACATTTGTTGTTTTGTATTTCAGAAATGTTGCTATTTATCTTACGGCAATGCTTCCTATTACTTAAGTATGACATATGAATATGAACCAGTCAAGCTTCACGCCTTCAATTCCAAAGAAAAGCAGCTTAGCTATGGTAGTATTTTAGTCAACTTGTATCAAAGGCTTCCTTCAATGTGACGAAAGTGACTGCGGAAAAGTCTCCCTCGAAACTTAGATACCAGTCATAGGTTCACTCCAGTAAGCATGTCAATGCAAAATGGCCTAAAACCCCACTGGTCTGAGCAGAAAAATTCATTTACAGTAAAATGATTAAGTAACTGTTCAAAGGATATCTTTTAAAATAATCGTGAAACTACAGGAAGCACAGAAATAGGTCTAGCTAGATTTATCTCTGGTAGAGCAATCTTTGTAGAGAGGGTCGACCCTCGCCATGTTCAAATTTTCTAGAAATTGCCCTTGTGAAATGGACGTATTGGATATACTGCACAATGATGGAGCTAAAACAGCCATCCTAATTTTGAGAAATGACCTTGATATTCATCAATGCCAGAACTATGAGATGTTTTAGACTTGTTCATTATTTTGATAAGTTCGTCAGGGCAAAAAAATTGGAATTGAAATTGCACATGGTTTTCTTTTATTGAAAAATCGCCATTGAGAAGCGATTTCGAGAATCTGCTATCTGGCACTGCTATCTAAAGAAAAAGCTGCCAATGCCATGAGTACCAAAAAACATCAATTAGCTGCTGACAATTTATTGTAATAAAATAGCAATAAAATTTCTACATTGTATGGCTTTCGTAGAAAATTGGCCCAGAAATTCATTTCATTTAACATAGCTAGTGTGGATGGACGTCTTTTACATCAATCATGTTTTAATGTCAACTGACATACCAGCGCATGTGCATTCAAAGACCAGAACAGCCAAATAAAATTAAGGAGAAGACACAAATTTAAAGGTGTGATAATTTTACGTCAGCGTGAACAGTTTGATCAATTTCATAACCTTTATTCGGAACTGGAGGATGACCGAGAACAAACTTTTGGTTACGTAAAGCCAGTTTGAAAATCATAGCATTACACCACAAAAGTACGTTGCCAAAATATCACCCCTCACCAAACATTTTCTCGTCGAATTTAGACAAAACAAAAAAATTGATCCTGCCGAGAACCGACGTGTCTCCCTCCACCCACACCCCCACCCCCCCTCGTGGCGCCACTGCTGACCGATAAAACTTTTTCAGGTAGCTTGTTTAATAAACCTCTGTTTCAAGAGAGGCAAATACCATTGCATCTGTTAGGATTCATTTTTCGTGCTTTTTATAATAATTTTTATCGTATGTCAGCTGAAGGTTAAAAAGTCGACAATGATAATATTTCTTTTAATTCATATTCAAATATTTAATACTACAAGGATTCATTCAAATTACAGGATTTGCAAAGATCAACTGTTTACAATATACAATTAAAAACTAAAATACTGAAATACATTCTGAGATACGCAGAAGCAATTGATTCTGAGAGCTCTGACCAGCCTCTACGGCATTGGCTAAACCAGGGGTGTATAATGCTACCAAAATCACAAGGCGGGTTCTTGCATAAAATGTTGCGAAAGCAATAGCAAAGTCGAAATTTGCCGATTTCGGCATCTACAAGGGGCTCAGTCCCCCCGAGTCCCCCTAGCACTACACCACTGGGCCAAACTGGCACGGTTTAATACAATTTGTGTATTTGGGCCTTTCTATGGGAAGATATTATTCATTGATATGCAAAGCTTCAAACAAGCTTTAATTCTGTGATTTGCATTCCTAGCGGCCTCCAGAAGCTGTTAACGTCAGAATTCTTACCCCGGGGTGAGTTTCAACACTGTTGACCGTGTAAGCCCTCATAGGGCTTAGAAGAACAAATCTCAACAAGGGTTGGGATTATAAGATTCAGCTTGGGTCGTGTTGAAGGAAAAGCAGTCAATTCTAGCAACCCCTCCCTCCCGCTAATATATTTCTCATTGTCTTGGGTAATCAATTTGGGCCATATAGCTTGAATCTATTTCCATCCGTATTGAGATTTATCATGTTAAGCCATTTAAAAATAATTGACGGGTTGAAATCCTAGCCTGTGTCAAAGCCTGTGTTAAACTCAGCCCAAGCTGAAGTTTTTGTGTTAGTGACCTCTAACTACCCATCCTTAACAATTCAAAAGGAAATGATCTCAAGATTTGTCAAGCTTTATGGCCAAGCCCTTTTACATTAAGAAAGATGCTTGCTGTTTTGAAGAAGCCCTAGATAATTGTGCCAGCAGATCAACTCTCTTCCTCAGATATCCAAGAAAATCTCCAATCTAAAAACGGTCCAATTCTTATAAAAAGTGAAGATGGGAAGGCAGGGAACAGAGATTGATTGGTCTTTCTTCGGTATGGGGAACATTGAACAAGCTTCCCATTGTATTTAACGCCGCTAAAAATGCCACTGAGGCTTCAAATAAGGTAGCTGCTAAATGCAGTCTACTAAAATAATTACATAAGTAGAGAAAAGGTAGTTAAAACTATTTGCAATGTGTGTTATTAAACAGTTTGTCAAGCTCTTTTTCTCTGATCAAGCGATTGCCTCTCTTTGATTTGCTTGAGAAGGGTCCACATATATTTCTCTGCATCTAATCAGATCGGTCCTATGGAACAAAAAGATGCATGTGACTTTAAGACCCCGTTTAAATGGGAGTGTATCCGGATCCAAAAGAGTACGGATTGGCCTGCGTTTACATAGAAACAGGCGGATTCGTATAATTTGTGATCCGCTATCCGAACACTTGAGAGGTTATCCCGTATGGATCCGATCTGGACCGGAGCCTGCATAAACGGTTGGATCTGGTCTAGATCGGATCCGTTTACGTTTTTTTCTCGAAAGTGAGACAGAATAATTGTAAATTCGATGTACTTTGAACATGTATTTGTGAGTTTGGCGACAGAAAACCAAAGACGAAGTCGACTAACTACTGTGTTAAAAAGAAAGTACGATAAGATGAATCCAGAAGTCTTAGAAATAGGTTTTTAGCATGTTTTTAGCATGTTCCGAAGTAGAGCACTAAGAAGTCAATTAATAACGAAACGTAAAACCAGAATTACATGGAAATCACTTAGGATTTGACTAGTGATTGGTACTTCGCAGACATTGTGGCATTCCCCTGTGTACATTAGCAAACCAGGAAGTAGCAAATTAAAAAAGATACAAAAATACAAAGCAGCATAAGTAAGTTAAGTTACCGAAAATGTTGTGGCTGGAAATAAGATATTTACTGACTTTATCTGTTTAAATATAACAAACACTTATCTTATATAAATTATCAAAATAGGATCTTATAAAGCGACTTTCTTATAAAAGCGACTTTCAGACTTGATGATGCCATCAAATCACCGTAATTCTGTCTCGGTTCATAACTTTTCGAACCAAGCCAGAGTAACAGTAATAGGTTAGCAAACTTGAAATCTTTTCTAATTGCCAGATCTCACCTAATTTTGAACATTGATAACTGTTTCTGCACTTTAAGAGGTATTTTGTGCTGTTCTGTCAGATTATCTGATCAAAATTAAAAAAAATGAAATAATAAATAAAAAAAAGATTTTTGATTAAGTCATGACTTGGTACTCTGCTCTGTGTTATCTAGAATGATAACCCCGTCATTATATTGTACAAATATTGAATAAAAAAGGACTGACCAGTTAGAGCATGGACCTAAGCTGAACGCAAACCTCTTTTGCAGTTGGCCTCTCCTCGAGTTTCCCAGACCAGCATGCCTTCATCAGAGATTTAAATTCATCGTTGATGTTCGCATCATTTGGAATGGATGGCCTCAAGTTACTTGCACAAACCCTGAAAATCACAGCATGTTGGTTCATCCCATTGTAAGGGAATTCCCGACTCCAAAATTGCCACATGCATATACCCAACGAGAAAATATCGGCCTTTGCGGTGGCTGATTTGCCTTTTAGCAGCTCTGGCGCCCTGTATGCAAATGTACCCGTGAGATAGCTTCGAACTGGAGTGGTGGGGTCTTTTTCCGCATACTGGCAGCAACCAAAATCAGTCAGTTTACAAATACCTTGCATTGAAAGCATCACATTTGCAGGTTTAAGGTCCAAGTGCACAATTTCAAATTGCGAAATATAGTCTAGTGCACTCGATATGTCTATAGCAAAGTTAACATAGCGACCGAACTCGATTGCCTCATCGTTGTCGTCGATAACTTGCTGTAAATTCCTTCCCTCGATAAACTCCTGCACAATAAATCGCTCTTCTGCATTTGGATTAGATGCTGTAATGAGCCTCACAATATTCCTATGCGTAAATCCGTAGATCTCCGGAAGCGTTTCAGACTTAAAACTCTGCGCTGCAGCTTTTGCTTTCGCCGTTCGATTGATTTTCTTCAACGCAACTTGCTGTCCGTGAAAGTCAGCCTCGTAACATGTGCCGAAGCCTCCAGCTCCCAGAGTTCGACGAAGGTCGAACTCTTGAAGTTCAACTACATTTCGAATCTTTATTATCAAATCTGCTACCATTTTCATGCCTAAGTTTCTCTTTCATATCGTATTGCTTTTAGCTTGTTGCAACTACACAACAATATGAATGCAGTTTGCAGATTTGCAGGGTATCTCCATACACACCTCTAGGGAATAGGTTTCTAAAGCTAGTCGACTTGAAAGGGTGTTCAGCTTTGACAATAACCTGCAAAGTCATTAGGGAATGGGAAACAATGCTTCTAATTTTCTACATGAATGTACAGCATATGGCGGGAGAATGAACAAATCAACCCTTCCCACAGCTAGATTTGTTGTCAAATTCGAGAAAAATGATTGCAGGGTACTCAAGCCTCGGCTAAGTACAAGAAATCTGGGTATTAATACCAAAGCAAAAGTCGTAGTTGGAAATAAGACATTCCAGGGACGGATAAGGAACAAATACGGCAAAGGAGGGAGGTGGTATATATAAAATTCAATCAAAGGTCAAATTCTCCTTTGGAAAAGGCGCGCCATTTTTGAAAAACGTAGACTGCCAAGCCGATCCCAAGCCATCAGGCACCTGTTTTATCCGCAGTTGCGACATTCGTGCATTCAAAACGAGATTCAATAGTAATTCAAGCGAGCATGAGTCTTTCTCTACTCTCTAGTTTGTAAGCTTTTGATATCTAGTTTGTAAGCTTTATTACAATTTTTTTTGCTTTTATTGTTTTCCCCTCTCTGATGATAGCAGGCTTGGCAACTAGGTGTTAGACTTGAAACAACTATTGAGAATAGCAAGCAAAGTATAACAATGCATTTATTTCCATCATTGTAAAAAACTACGCGCCCGTTATGTGATAGTCACATTTGTAAGTCTGATAAGCAAACAGTCTTGTTTTATGATAATTGGGTTCTTTGTTGTATCTGGCCGAAGGCAGACCAAAGTGAAGGCAGATCAGCTTCAATTGACAGGAAGAAAACAAGAAGAAATCCTACAAGTCAGAATATGGTGACTTTAAATAATTATCACTTAATGGAGATTGCTTGTTCTTAAGTCAAACTCAAGCAGTTTATACTCTCGACTGCTAAAGGAAGTATATACTATAAAACAAATTTACTAAATGTTAATTGTAAGTCATGTATTTAGGGGTTGCACTGAACTTTGCATATGCTTTGATAACCTTCTGTATGGCGTCTAGGAAGTCCTTCTCAGTGGCTACCTGCAAAAGGAGAATCTAAGTTAGAGAAACAAAGCCGGCTAATTTACGTCATTCGTCAATATGAGTCTTGCTCTAAAAGTCCTTGCGTCTAAGAAAGTTGTGGGATGTATTACTTGCTAAGAGTCAATACCGATGTATTGCTGAACCAAGCACCTAAACAAGTTGCCAATATATGAACATTGATCATTATATCAAAAACAGGCATGTTCACTCAGTTGGATACGAAACAAATAAGAGAACGACTTCTAAAACAAACAGGATATTTCAATTCAAAATATATTCATTGCCTTATAGGCTTTGTACATTTTCTGATAAAAATATTTTCGTCTTTGGTTTAGCTGAAAGAAAACCCGCGACATATTCTGCCTTCAAGTGAAAAATAGGAAACGAGGCCTCCTTTGAAGACGTGGCTTTCGTTGAAGACAAGGCTGGGCGGGTAGGCATTCTTCCTTTTCATTGCCGGCTAGGCTTTCTTATATTTAGCCCGGGTCGGTTAGATAGGGTACTGCCATATATTTACCGAAACTCATTAACGTTGAAATTATGTGCCAACGGATTCATGTACCACTAAATGACTCCCAGTTTTTAATGATTCCCATTATACAGAATGTCAACGACAGCAAGATGGTGGAAACATGCAAAAGGATATATAGAAGCACTACAGAGCTTTCTGTCAGATATAAGTACCGAAGTGGAATATTTGGCTTTTTTCTAAAAAAAGTTTCTTAAAAGGCAATCAAAAATTGCAGGGGGATCTCACTTACAGATATCAATTTTTCGAATAAGGAAAGGAGTCAATATATGAATAGAAAACGGAATTAATAAGCACCAAAATAGTATTGAGTGCTAAAATTATTCGGAAACTTGAAGCTCTAAACGTAAGCTCTCTGACAAGATCATCATATTGTAAAAACTATTTTGACTAAGATCCCGAAAGATTTAAAGGTGATTTAATACTTGTTTAACACGAAAACGGTGGACAGAAAAAAGTTTTTTATCTTGGTCGGGGAAAGCTGCACCAAAAACCTAAAAATTGCAATTAATGTTGCGAGGTACCAAAAGCTTAAAATACAAGGAAAGATGGTTGAGCGGTTTTGAATCATCTCGACATTAAAAGAAAAAGGAATGAAAGCGGAAAATGACAGCTACTTGGAACTCAATACTGTGGATGAGAAGAGGCGCAAATTTGTTTGACCAGAAAAAACCTTCATCAGAGTCAAGCTAGCAAATTCATACGGACCCACTTTTCATAAGTACATGCGTAACGATGAAGCATTATATACGTATTCTCATAAATTTGTCTGGCCCGACACACAATACCAATATTATATTTCTGACGGCTTGTCATATCAAATCAATAAAGGACCCTTAAAATTTTATCAGGATAGAAGAGAGGATGATATGAATGCAACTGGGCAGGGTATTTTAAATCTGTGCACATTACATAGATGTGCGTAATTCAGGTACTTTCACATAACTCCGGAGCTGTTGCCGATATCTGAGGCACTTTAAACAATAAAATCGCAAGAAAAGGCTTAAGCCACCGTCGGCATTATTACAATATTGGAGCTTATTGATATTGCTATAACGAGTGTAGAGTTTCAGAAGAAAACAAAACAAATATTGAATGTTCAATGCTTCAGGTTTCTTTTTTCATGTTGTGATTGACTATGTATCATCAGATTTCCCATATATTTCATATTCTAAACCAAAAATTATGATAATAAACAAAAAATAGCATCAAAGCCAAATCTCAATCAATACTTTATTTTACCTTTCGTCTGGATCGTATAGCAAACATTCCAGCTTCTGTGCACACACTTCTGATTTCTGCACCTGCATAAATACAACCCGAAATCCAGGTTTAGGATTTGCTCATTTCATTCTTCAAACATTGCACCCACTTCACATTCAAGAAGTGGAACTCTGGCTCTGAAAAACCTAAGTCTGATAACAAAAGATTTCGGAGGGGGATCAAATTTCTCGCACAAAATCTATGAAAATAGATTGGCAAATTTAAATAGACGAAATTTCCGCAAAAACTGTCCCTCCTAGAAACGGCCATTTGAATTATGGAATGACGTAGTTTCTTCAGACAAGGCCAGTCATATCAAGATATCAAAAAATCTAACTAATAAACTTTTTAGAGAAATGATAAAACTGCAGGAGATTTAAACTCTATCAGCCAAATATGTCATGGTCGGAAAATGATTCTGAGCCGATCTAAAGGCCCAAGGTCAATTAGGAAATCAAAGAAACTGCCGAACACCTAGAAAAATTTCTTCGATTTTACCTTATGTGATATAGATGCAACGTCGCGTTTTTGAAGTATAAAGCTTTATAGGAAATTAATAGGTGAATGCCGTTTACAATAGGTACGTGCATATGTTGAAGGGGACACTTGGCCTTGGTCAACAGCTTCATGAGGTAGGGTGGCCAATTCAATAGTATCACCCTTTACCCTCCTAAATGTAGCCACCAGATACCCATTTGCTACCAGGTGGATCGGACGCGAGCAACCAGTGGGTCCATTTTCGATCGCAAGCTTCAGCACTGTTATTAAGCGCCTTAGTAACTTGGCCACTATTAAAAACTGCTAATGTATCGAGCGATGACGGGTAAAAACAAAGACCTTACCGGTGCTGTTTGGACAGAGACGGGCCAATAGTTCATAACGAATATCTCGTTCAACACTCATTGATCTAGCGTGAATCTTGAAAATATGACTTCGTCCCTGTGAGAATAAAGCAGGAAGATGGTAGGAAAATATATACCTCAATAAAAAATGTGCAGACTTGAACGAGTTGCTAATTATTCAAACAGCACTGTATGCATTTTTTAAAGAAGATCCTTAAAAAATATCAAAACCTTAAAAATTTTTCAATTTTTGAAAAAGCTTTTCAAAATGGAATGCAGTAAAAATATCTTTTTAGTTTGAACTAAAAATGTAAAAATTTAACTAAAAGCTTGGAGGTTTTTGCTTTGAACTTCAAGAAAAATCCTTGATATGAGTAGAATATATCTCAAAATGTTTTTACTGAAGATGCAAATTTCACCCCTGAAAATCTTTTGAGGGGGATCAATTTTGAGATCAAATGGCAATAAATAGCTCCCACTCGCTTGGGAAAACCAAAGTTCAGAGTTTTTATAAATCAACAGAAATATGTATCACTATGCTAAAAAATTCTTTCATTATATAATTACCATATCTATATAATGACTATATAAAATTACAACTCTATTTTCAATACATTACGCTATCTCCTTCAAAGGTGAATACAACATCTCATCTCCTTAAGGACGATGAAAAGTCAATCTTACTAAAAATTGCTACTTGCACAAAAACCACGTTTTCTCAAAAACTAAAACCTCTATGTGCTAGAAACTTTTCATAAGTATTAACCAAACACTTCTCCACAAAATTTCATATAATTTATGACGTCACAATGCGCATGTATAATTTACTGACCAGAAACTCCGGACCAGTAAAAACACTTTAAGTAAGAATTAACGTTATGGTGATCTTTCTGAAGCCAAACAACATATGCAATAATGTAGCATATAAAAATGACTCTGGGATGAGCAGAGGAAATTGTTGTTTTATAAAACATAGTTTTATAGGTAACAAAACAGTTTTTTTGCATGAAAGGCATCACGAACCAAAAGACTAATACCTTAAGTACAATTTAACGCCAAAAAGCCAAATTTGAAAAAAAATTTCTTTAACGAATATTTTGCCTATTCATCGTCCTTAAAGATTCGAAAAAGATTTCAATGATAAAGAAACAATCTTACCTCCAGGTCCGGTAGGCCGAATTCAACCTTCCTGTCCATCCTTCCTGGTCTCATCAAGGCAGGGTCAAGAGTATCAGGCCTAGAAAATTATACATTTTGCAAATCATTGCAGAGGAGTATCTTTAAATGAAACTCTTCTAATCAGAAGCAGGCACGATTGTATCGTAAAGAGCTTTCATTCCGTAGCAAATAATTGCAAGCCTTCTCGACCAGGACTTCATTCCTGCATCATGCTCAAACTCAGTGTACGTGACACAAGGAATAGTATTCAATTTGGTATCTAGAAATATTATTTCAAAACACTCGTCTGGTGATGTAGCGAAGTGAGATTTCAAACTAAAGAACAAACCTATTGGTAGCCATTAAAACTTTAATATTTCCTCTAGGATCAAAACCATCCAGTTGGTTGATTAGTTCCAGCATTGTTCGCTGAACTTCATTGTCACCTCCGGCTCCATCATCGAATCGGGCACCTGAAAACAAACCAAAGAAAATATAAATTTATCTCAAAGCAGAATAAAATTTCTTTCCCTCTTAAAAAAGGATAATTTAAAACAGATAAATTAGATGTGAATTAGCAATGAAGCAAATATGCAGAAAAGCTTGGTGTTAATAATCTTGTAGCACACTGATGTTAGTTTGAAAAGAATGACTTGCCGGCATTACATGGATATAAATGATAGTACCAGCACTAATTTCTCAAAATAATACTGGACATTAAGCAAGGGGCTATATTTTTCTTGGATATATAAGACGCACGCTTTCACATAAACGTAGTCATAAAAACATGAAAAGTGATGCTGCAGTCTTACACTTGGCTTAAAATGCCTTAAATTTCGATCAAACCAAATTGAAGTATCAAGCATTTCAGTTTTTACTTATACGAGACTGGTTTATAGAAACTAGTACTAGGAAAGCTGATAATTTAAAAAAAACTTTAGTACTCAAGAAGAAACTGTAACAACATTCCCATTTGCAAAAATAGAGTCCAAAAGCTTTTATTTGCTGACTTTTCTTTAGAAAAGATAGCATACCGTAATGCCTCGAATAAGCACCCGGGCGCTTATTTAGTTTTTGAGGCTCCAGGGTGGGCGCTTATTCGAGGGGGGGCGCTTAATCGAGGGGCGCTTATTTAAAAAATAGATTTGGAAGAGATTAAAAAAATTAAAGTGTTTTCTATTGAAGCATGTTATTATGATGGAAAGGCAAAAAATGAGAATGGAAACTACAACAAACTGTGTTGGTCATTCAATCTTTCTTGGTGAATTGCCTTCCAATTATGTTGTCGTCGAAAATTCGAACAAGCGCTCATTTTTGAAGGTTGAAAGATGGGCGCTTATTCGAGGGGTGGGCGCTTATTCGAGGGGGCGCTTATTTGAGGGGGGCGCTTGTTCGAGGCATTACGGTACTTTGCATTTTGATATGCATGGTTTTTTTCCTGACGATCTGCGTTCATATTATTCCAAATTGCTCAACTTCGAAACATTCTAGGTTCCGAAAATAAGAAACAAGCTAAGAAACGTTAAGAACGTTTAGTATTAAAACGCCAAAATTTGTATCCCATTTTAAGAAAATTTTTGTACTTAGTGCCGATCCAAGTTTCTTATAAGAAAAAAACGTGTATTGCAGGCAGAATTATAAGAACTTGCAATAACATTTGATAACAGAACCGCACCTCCAACTGCATCGATCTCATCAAAGAATATGATGCAAGCCTTCTTTGACCTTGCCATTTCAAAAAGCTCCCTAACCATTCTTGCACCCTGAAAGTCAGTGGCGAAAAATGATATCAATAGATAAAAATATCAGTAAATCATAGACAGAATAGAAAAGGTTTAAAGCAGCTGATAGGTCCAGCTGTATGAATTATTCTGATACCAGTGTAATATCAAACAAGTTAACTGTACTCATGATTAGGGGAAAACTGATAGGAAGGGGGTGAAGGGGTCTGCATATATGTTTTCTTTGATAAATATTACCTTTCAGTTTCGCACTCCACAAAGCTCCCCCAGGCTCTCCTAGGCTACCCTAGACAAGCAAGAGGTTGAGACCTCCCCAGGAGAGCTGAACAATCGAACAGAAGAGGCCCTAAGGACTGGGGTACGTTACTTTCTTGGGAATAATGAAGCAGAAACAATGTGAAAAAGAATGCATTTCAAATGAGGCTGCGATCTCGAGAAAGTATTTTGTAATCGGCTCTTGCCCACCAGCATCCCACCACAGTTTACATTTATGGGTGCCGAAAAGTCACTTGACCAAAGGGCCACGATGAAACAATGCTTAAACATATAGTGATTCTTGATCTAAACATAAAGCAGATTAGTCTAACCAAAGAGCTGCAAAAAGTTTCTAAACAAATTTATGCAAAATTCATGCTCAATACGCTTTAAACTGACTGAGAATGAAATACATTTACAATAATGCTCTCGAGATTGACTGTCAAAAAAAAATCATATTCGATATTCGAACAATGAAAGGAAACATGTCCTTGTCAAGTAGTTATAGATGCCTGATGAAATACAATGACACTAGAAAAATATATTTTGCCGGTGCCAGTCAAACAATAGACTCCTTACCTCACCAACATACTTCTGCACCAGTTCAGAACCAATCACGCGAATGAAACAAGCATCCGTCCTGTTGGCTGCAGCACGGGCACACAGAGTTTTCCCGGTACCAGGCGGGCCAAATAGCAAAATGCCTTTTGGAGGATCAATGCCCAGGTTGACGAATCTTTCAGGCTGAAATGGGTAAGTTATATCAATTACTACAAAGTATCTACTTTAGGTTTTATACAAAGTTTCTGTAGATGAAAAAAGCTGCTCAATTTGAGTACTTCGCAAGTGATTCCGATTGGGAGATGACACTGTTTCTAAAATTGCTAAAGAAATGCTAAGTAGAAATGATAGAGAAGACATCTGTTAACAGCAATTCTTTCAGACAACCTTGTGGCCTTTAGACCATAACTGAGGCGAAGAATCATTAAGATGACGAAACAGGTCTACTGATAAACTGCTTCGCTAAATGTCCCATTTAGATTTTGTGTCCTCTTTATCAAATCCACTTAAAGGCAGTCTGTCCCCTATTGTTCTCAACTTTATTTTCACAGGGGTGAAATTCACGCACCATTGAGCTTGATCGATAATTAAACGATTTAAACCAATCAGAGACAACATGGATTCCACAGCATTTGAATCAAATGGCTGTGCTCCCGTCGAAGTGAAGCTGTGGCTAGATAAATTTTGTTCCCTGTTTGGTTTGTGCGACAGATATGTCAACAGGGAAAAGAAATGCTTCCATTATCATCATTCAATTCCAGTAACAAAATCTTCTTGCCATTTCCGATAGCCTTTTGCTCGCAGTTTCAAATGTCGTCCACTATCGCATCTAGCGAGCAGCGTAATCCGTTAAGGCAGGAAGACATATTGTTCATATTAGCCAATCATTGAGGGGACAGACTGCCTTTAAACAACAGCAGCAATAATTCATTATTTTAAAAGCATCTCTGATTCTTACATAAGTACATAAGTAGAGAAAATAGATCTATGCGATGATTTCATATTTGCAGTCACTACATAGTGGAAACACTGCATACTGAAGCACTACTATTCGTCCGGTATAAACGTCGGGTAATGACCGAAAGAAAGCAGAAAATCCAGATGCGGATCGTAAACAACGTGAAAGGAAGAGAGATGCATTTGACCGCTAACCACTCACATAGTTGAAGAAACCAACAGCGGAAACAAACCCTTCCAAAGTCGGGATACTTTGTTTTGATGTAACAGATTCTAAAACTTCTAAATGAAAAGATGACCTTGCCTGTCAAATGATTTTGAAATGAAAGATGACAATGAAAGAACCAATCAAACGCAACTTTCTTCCTCTCAAGTTACTTTCGATCGACGCCTGTACATAAATTCTCTGCACACTTTCGGTCATTAACTGACGTTCATACTCTGACGAATGTCGATCGAAAAGTGCTTTAGTATGCTATGCTTCCAGTATTTCGTGCCATCTTGAATTTTGTGGTACCAAAAAATTATTTGCAGTTATAAAATGGCTTGTATAATTGTACTTTTGTCATCTTTACACCCTTTTCAAAGATACCTGCATACATTGCTTTCAAAATTAGCAAAAAAAATTCCCATAAATTTTTTAGAATATTCAAAAATATTTAGAAAAGAATTCATTAAATAATAACTGTACTTGGTTCTGATGATAACAGCAGAAAACGTTCCAAGTAAGATCAAAATGTCAAAATAACATGAATCTAAAAAGACAAAAAACGCACATGAAGCAGGGGTGTTTCCACAACTTCTCTAAGTTTGTCTATCTGTTCCTTGCAGCCTCCAATATCAGAATAGGTAACATCAGGTTTTTCTTCAACCTTGACAAGAATTCATTCAGTAAATCATACTATGACATCATAAAAATATTGCTTCACTATAATATTGCTCATAATACAATCATGCAAAAAAACTGTATTGCGTTAACACACTATATTCATTCATTATGTATGAAAATATACCTGTTCGATAATAATAGATGCAAATTTACAATCTTATCAGTATGGCTATGGTTTTATGAATTTCCAAGAAGTAACATTGTTTACTTCTTAGTTGCATTCTTTGTGCACATTTTTACAATACAAGCTTCTATTGTAAAATCCAATACAAATGAAAACAGGCTGTTACACAAAATTTACATTCTCTGTTTTTCCATGAATTCTTAAGAGCATCAATTTAACAAAATATAGATATAAACATTTAAATACAAAAACTCACTTGCATCATAGTAACAGTGGGGTCAATTTTTGGAGGCAATGGAATATGTATTTGGTATTTATTTCTATCCACACCAACTCTCATCCCTTCTTCAATATCAGTTGGAGCTACTTGATCACCAAGATCAACAACAAATTTTGCAAACTGCTTCACATTGATGATGTATTTAGGGTCATCTGAATCTGCATTTATTATTTTTGTGCACCTTGCAACCTAGCAAAGGCAGAAAAGAATTCTGTGATATTTAAAGATAAAAAGCAATCCATATCCCCTTTCTGAGATTAAAAACAATGCTCTGATCATCAAAGAGACACATTTCCCTAACCCCTTACCTGGCAAAACCACTGTTTATGGTTTCTTTCCCTTTATCCTGAGCCTAAATTTACCAACCTTCTCCCCAAGCAATACTTCTCTAATGTGAAAGCTATTTCACACAAAAAATTGTATGTCAGTTCTCTATGTTTGATTTCAGTATAGAACTAATCAACACTATCTAAAGATGATTTTGATATCAAACATTATTCAAAGAACCCTGAAATGTGTTCAAGAACATTTGACAAAAAAATATAAAAAATACAAAAGCCATATTTTCTTTGGTCAAAATTATCTCATATAATTTTCCAGTATACAAATAAAACACTATTATGCTAACATTATAAAAGAAGCGTGGTAAATATAGATTAAACTGAGGAAACCTGTAAGGGTTGATCTGAATGTAGAGTTTGTTTGTCAGCAGCCAAATCCCATAGAGCTGGGGCAGCCAAGCCAGTGTCGGATTCTCTTATACCTAAAGAGATCAGATCAAATATATATGAAGACTATGATTCAAAACAGATCTTTCCAATGCACATAAACATGTCATATACTGAAAGTGCTTTGATAAGAGTCTTATTAAATTATCACATTCACTCTTACTTGAATGTACAGTTAGTACGGTACAGTTACATCAAAGATAGTACAGTTAATGATAGTACAGTAACATCAAAGAGAGTAAACTCTGCAAAAGTAATGTATGTTAGGGTTTATCATTTATCAATTAACTCAAAAAACCCAGACACCTTTTAAAAAGTATGAATGTCAAACAATCTTTTTAACAAAAGCATTATCATTTTAGGTGGAAAATATTTAGACTTAAATAAACAAAAACTGTCGAATATTGTACACGATTTGCCAATCAAAAGATAACAACTCTATTACTTCAATTTGTAAACAAAATTTACTCAATACATATGTGGTATAAATTTGCTGCTATACAAACTTTTGTTGTTGTGGGATGATTATATGTAAAATATATATATGACATGTCAATACGATAATATCTTTAGTTGTTTCTTTTAATGTATGTCATATCAAGGTGGATTAAATTCACAAGATATAAATAAATTAAAATTTACAATGAACATTATATCTTTAAGAAGCAGATATATCTTTAATGATCTCAACAACAAATGGACTAAAAATGTATTACTTGTTACTTGTCTCAAGACCTGCAGAAAAATACAGAAAGTTTTAGATATAAAATTTCAATCATGACCTGTTAGTTCGTCAACCTTCTTGAAAATGGAGCTGATGTCATCCTCAACTTTTTTAATTGATTTGTTATATGAACCAGCTCCCTAGGAAATGAAAAAAATTGTTGGATGACCTTACATACATACATAGTATAGTGAAAACATACAAAACAATGAATGGAGACAAGAAGTGTTGTATCGCAAGGCTAAATGGAACCAATTTCAAAAAAACAAATTGAACTGCTTGCAAATAATGTGTTGTCTGATCTTTGTAAACAATTATATAACTAAAATCGCTTTGGGAAACTCTCAGAAGGGATAATTGATGAAAACCCAAATAATTTAACTTTCAGGCATTTTGACCAAGATAATGAGTCCTAAGAGTGACAACTAAATGTTGGTCACTGTTTGTAAACATACACACGCATATGTTTACATTTAATTTATTTAAATATATATATATAAAGTGAACTTAAATACCAAATTTTATTTATCATTTCATTTGCCTGGAAAAAAATAAAATCAAAAAAATACTCATAAAAGTATAGAAATGTTGTTCTTTATGCTTAAAATGTGTTCTGTAGCAGGTAATGACAGAAAGGAAAGGTTTATAGAAGGTAGAAGGAAAGCTCTTTCCATTTTATATGCTGGATTTTGGTTAAATAAAATAAGCGACCCAAGTGAAAACAGCAAAAGTGGTAGAAAAAGTCAGTGTCTATCTATCTGTAAAAATTAGGTACAAAATTTAAAAAATAGCATCAGATCTTTTATTTACATATATATGTAAATAAATAAACCATCTGAAGCAGGGGAGTCAAATTTTTCTGGCATTAGTTCTTTGAAATTTTGAACAGCTCAAAAACAATCCAAATAGGAGCATTTTTTCACATAATGATGTTGGGGGATTTTGCTTCCGCAGGATTGATGTTTGTCCTGTAGTGAAGAGAAAACATCCCCAAATTTTGTTTTTAATTTTGTTTACAATCAAAACAAATTGTTAAAGCAAACCATAGCTATTGATAATAGAACATGAATCTAGTGAATTTCCTCTTCCCTACCTAACAACTGGATAACAAATATTCTGCTATACATGAACGCTCTGTTCATTTTTAAGAAAAAGGTGTCTTGTTAATACACCTCCTTTGTTTCCTGTCTGTCTAACTGCCTCCACTTACAGAGTCATTGGTCTAATAGCGGGCTTAGGGGAAGGCACCGGTTGACATAGAAAACACAGACGGCGCACAGCCCTTGCTGTACACCACCTCAAGGGCCAGTATGAGAATCGTTATTCTAATGGCCAGAGAGCACGGTAAAGAGCTTGCAGCCACAGCTAAAATCATTGCTGGTAGCCTAGAGCCCTCTTGTTATTGCCACTAACTTGTCAGGGTATCAGGATCGCAAAATCGAAAAGCCGATA